GCAGCAGACGAAGCCGCTTGAGTACGTGACGCAGAACTCGTGCCTCCCTGCCTTGCAGCCTTTGGGTCAGGAGTAGTAGCAAGCAGAGTTAACTCTGCTTGTAATGAGCGAGGAGTAGGATGAAGTACAGTTGTAAACACACGGGGTTTGGGAGGCGTCTGCTTCTGTTGAGAAGAGCTCGATTCGCTCCTTTCGGGTTGTTCCTGGGAGTCACTGGGTTGCTCTCCGTTGGCCTTGGTGTCTGATTGTGTTTCGGCCTCCTTTGATGTTGGTTTCTCAGAAGTCAGCTGGTTCTGTTTCGGGTAGGGTACATAGGCCGAAGGAGTAACATGTTCATTATAGTTATGGATAGAGAACGGAGTATTGTTATCATTCGTCGAGGGGGTAGTTGACTTCCTGGCTTGGGCTGACACAGATTTGTGATCAACCACGCGGACAATGAGACAACCTATCAACACGGTTTAACGAAACGCAGCGCAAGTATTATATTACGGTCTAATGCCTACCTTCGTAGAAACGAACGTTGGCCCGCAACAGCTCCTCTATCATATCGTGGGGAACGGTCCCGGCACGAATATGTTCGATAATAACCTTCATTTCAGAATTATATGGAAAGCTCCCGTCTTGTTGCTCAAAGCGGAAATGGGTAGGATGAAGATGTAAAATGAGAGACGGGGGGCATTTGCCGTATTTCTTCAGTATATGTGACGTTGTTTTCACTGTAAGGGATACAGCTGTCAGTATACAGGGAGCGCCGCACATAGAGCTTGCAGAAACTCACCATAAGGCTCAGGGCACTTCTTGCCTAGCCGGCGCTCATTGTCCGTGGAAAGAGTCCTGGCCAATGGCTTCGCTAACCGAATTCCTTGGTCACCTGGCTTTTGCGCTTCTTTCTTAGGCCGATTAATGGAGCCCTTGACGCCATTCGAATCAGCCGCACCATTGACCCCATTTATGACCGCACCACTTGTCGAGCCCGCGGGACCTGGTGGATTGGAGCCCGGAAGGCGCTTGGAGGACGGTTGTGGGGACGAGGAGGACTGCTGAGGCTTTACCCCATTGACCCCGGTTTGAACAAAAGGCGGGGGCGGCCGCTTCATCTTGGGCGGGTGGGAGGTTGGTTTGGAGATCGCCGTTGCCATATTGTCGGCGACGGGCATGCGACGCGATTACAGCAAGCGGCTTACGGGCGCGACTTCTCGGGATATGAATCCGAAGATGACAGAGGGAAACCGTGCTCCGAAGATGATATAACCGGAGCGCGAGACATGTGGGGAGCGGAGGACGGGACCGGACGATAACGTACAGACCGGAGTCGAGGCGGAACTTTGGACGGAGCCCGGAGCCGCTAGAACTGAGGAATACTAGTGTCCATCGAACAAACACCTGCAAAGAAGGCAGGGGAGGTTCGGAGAGGCTGATCGGGTGACGGCGATGGTGCTGCAGAGGGAGTTTGGTGATGCCAAGCCGCGGGCGACGTGAAGGAGGTCGGGATCATGTGACTGCGGACCACTGCATCGGGTTAGGGCCATTGCTCTCCTCATACATCGAATCTCACCCTATGTGTTGTTCGGGCTTGCAAGTCTACGGTTTCACAATGAGATTGGCTTACAAAGGCGCTTTCGGCCTTATTATTTGTGTGCCCGGTACAAAGAAGAACAAGAAACACGGGGCCGTGGTATTGGTATCCTCCAAGCATATCCTTCTCATAGCTAGACTATATGCACAGTAGACACACTACCAAAGTAGAAAACATAGGTCGTAAAACTCAGGGGAATCAAAGCAGGTCGTAAGGGTGATGAAAGGGAAATGACACATATGAACAAGTGAAATAAACATATCGACACAGCCACCCAAGAAATGGACTTGACATCTAGTCCAAGCCAGACACTCTTCGGCGCCAATCGTCTCCCGTACGGAGCACGTCAACGACATCAATGCGCTTGCCGATGCCAGTCGTGCCATCCTTTTGCCACCACTTCTCACCACTGTCGCCCAAGGCAGATTCATCTTCACTGTCGACGAGGCCTCCTCGCTCGCCGATGACAATCACTACCTGTCGGACCCACCGGGTGATATGCTGTACCGGTTCGCCATCCTTTCCAGTCAGGGACTCTTGGACGTAAACAATGTCAGGAGAAATGTGTCGCACGAGATGCACAAAGCCTGTGGAGGTGCTGAAAGGCATAATCATGCTCTCTTTCTCGGCAATTGCTTGCGCCTGAGTATACAGCGTTTTGAAGAGCGGTGTCTGGTCATCCTGGCGAGAGTCCGATGCGCTCAGGTCGCCACTTGGTGGCTCACCAGGGGATAGGACTTCTTCAGGAGCGATGTTTGAATAGGACGAGGTGACGGACATGGTAGGGTGGGATCCGTTACCCTGGTTAGGAGCGTGCTTCAAACCCGGGGCGTAGATCATAACAAAGACTCGAGTTGTATCGGGGTCGATATGTTCTGGAAGATGGGAAAGGATAGACTGCTGCAGTATCAGTATAGTGGAACTATGCGAAATGAACATTATCACTTACAGCGTGATCAGAAGTGTACTCTTCTGGGTCTAAGCGCGATGTGTCCGATGAAACCACGATAGCTACCGTTTTCTTCTTGTTCGCGCCAGAAGACGTGGCAGCAGCAACTCCTGAGCCAGAAGGCGTTCCGCTCACGGTCGGTGCAGCGGGATCTGGTAGATCCCTGCGGGCTCTCGATTCTACCTCTTCAGACCATCTGGAATGATCTTCGAAGTCGCCCCTGTCTTCTTCTCGGATCGATGTCAGAGCGCCGCCTACAAACGCGCCCGCAGCAGCCACACCCGCTGCGACTCGCTTGCTGGCACCATCGAAAATCTGCTGAGGGCTAGGAGTGCGTCGCAAGGCTCCCTGCATACGAGCTACCATGCTAACATCGTCTGTGTCATGAATATCCGTCGCCGTGGACCTGGCATAGTCTCCGTCGTATCCGGGAGGAAGCTCGCCCCCGCTGGGGCCTGGCGCGGGGAAGTCATCGCCACCTCGAGGGTAATTGCGGTCGTTTTCTTCTTCTTCAGCGCGTTCACTCCAGATCCAGGCTGCAACACCTGCTGCTGCGACACCTACTGTCAATGCCAAAGGTACCCAGTATCCCAGGGTTGTTTGCCTGCCCGACGAGCTGAAGCCGGTACCCGCTCCAACCCGCCGACGACGAGCATCCTGGGGGAAAGACATTGTAGTCGCTGAGGTCAATTAGGACTGGCGCATAAAAACAGGTTGATTGCGATAATTTAAATCACATCGCAAGCCTGTTCTAGAAGATGGGGTGTGGGCTGGAAAGAACAAATGAAGGGCAGGAAAGGAGGAGCACCCGCATGGCTGGGGCAAGGCCTCGGACCACCCGAGAAACATGTGGCTGGTGATAACTTCCCCTGTTTACCGCGGGTGTTTACCCTTACGGCATCCGCCGAGGGAACCGTTTGCATGGTTTGTCTGCAGCTATACATAGCATTGCTGAGTCATTATCGCTATCGCCACGTGATACCTCTTGTTGGATCGAGATCATTGTTACTATGCGCCATGGTGTATCTGTATTTAATGTCCGGCATTCATACAAGCACCATCCGTGTTGAAGTGTTCGCTTTTCCTCCCTCTTGACCTCGCTTCGATTATGATGCCGCCAATTGCTGATTGCTCCGTATAATCACGAACAGGAAACCCCATCGGCACCTCACTGCAAGGCCTATAGTTGCCATCATGCGATACTCCACGCCTGTTCATCATCGACAGGCTTCCAAGCCCCGTTTAACATGACCAATTGTATCTGTTGAATCACTTCGTCTTCCCGACTTTGACCATGTTCAAGTCTTACTTCTTCCTTACGATCAAATTGAGGCAGGAGTAGTTACCCAGAGCGCGTCCGGCACTTTTTTCAACGAGCATGGTTGGCACAGTAACGGCCCACGGGCCATCAATGGCCGGCAAACAAAAGGTCGTCGGGGTGGGCTGTATATTATTTAGTCAAGGGCAGAGGTGAGTGTCAAGGATGATGTGACGGGTTTTCGCTGCCACTACTCCTCTTGGGCAGTGCGGAGCACCTGCAGTATCCCACCACTTGGATGAACCGGCTCTCTTTGGTTTGGTCTTCTAAATCTGATTTCTCCATGCCTATGGATATATGAAGAAATGAGAAAGGCTTTCCTTGTCCGCCACTCGTCTCGTTAAGAACGGTGCGCAGGCGTAGATGATGTCGGGCTACAGAGACGCACATATCCACGCCTATTGGTATAAATAATGGCTTGTCTTGAAAAATTTGAAAATGCCAGTAAAAGTCTTGTCTGGCGGGAGTCAAGTTAGACTGACAGACAGGGTCTAAACGAGAGCTTCAATCGAGGGAAATATCCATATCGGAAAAGTGTGCACAGGCAGAAACCGGCAGCCTTGACGACGACGCCCTTGAGGAATAGATCGACCTTTAAGGCCGTGTGCACCTCCAAAGCTGGTGCTAGCACATTCAACGATGAAACCTCTCCCAAAGGAACTTCGACACTCGAGATTGTATCTCGTCTGTAAGACTTCAGGCGTCGGTTCCCAGTCGGCGACTGCTGAGATGGCCAATCTTATTATATCCCGAATGCTATCCTAGGTTCACACAATCATTTCTTCCCTTGCCCATTTCTTTTCGCCCTTCTAAGCTCGAATCCATTGAAGGACCCAGCTGCATGATGTCATGCTCCGCACAGACCGAAGATCACGTATCCCGCTGGATTGTCCAGCGCGGCACAGCTGCGATCCGGCTGCCTTCTTGCCCAGGATGCTATCGTAAAAGAATCGTGCGTCATCAAGGAGGCCATGACAGGGTAAAGTGCCACATTACCGGTGGTACCCGGCTGACCCGCTGCGTAGTCAGGACAGTCATTGGCGGGCGTTGCGGGTTGACCGTCTGTCGTCTGAGTAAGATCAGATGGATTTGTGATAGTTTATGAAGCTCAGGATAATAGTCATATGTTCCTGGCGTGATGGGTGCTAAAAACAAGAAGTCTATGGTCCTCGAAAGCCTAACTAAAGATCCGTTAATATGACTCAGACATCTGTTAGATCTGCTAACTATGCCTACACCATGTGACTACATATCACGTCCTATTTCAAGCGCGAGGGATCTATAGAACGATTAGAACCACAGAGATATACCAACTAAAAAGACTAGAAAATAGAAAATAGAAAAAGAAGAAATTGCACTCTCACCATAAAACCATTGCCTCAATATTACCATCAAAACTCCTAATGTACAGCCAGTCGAAGTAATGCAATGCTCATACTCCGAGTACAAATCCCCAACCCCGCAAACAAAGAAACAAGGCAAAAAAAGAAAGAAAATTACTAACTCCACAAACAATAACTCTCCGCGATGATACCACAACCCTAACCGCATGTGAATATGCAAAGTCCAGATCCACGATGTACACGTCAATATCGCCCCCCTGCACCTGCATAAACGCCAAGAGAAGCCACTTTCATGTGGATGTAGCTGCGAGCAAAACACTGATGTACATGCGTCGCCACTCGGCAATTCTTCAAAGACAAAATCAAGCCCATAAATAGAAAAGAAGAGTAAGAGAGGTGGGGTGGGGGGGAAGACAAGACCGAGGTCTAGACCAAGACAGCCCTCTCAACCTTAGTTCTGGCTCATATCCATATTGTCCGGGAAGATAAAGCCGCCGCCACCAGGAACACGGGGATCCAGTTGCGAGATATCTCTGATAGGTTGCTTGCCTTTGTCGAGGCTGTATGCTCCGTTACCGGGAAGATGTAATTGCTCGGGGTCGTCCAGGTCCAGCATGCTGGGGTCGATGGTGGCGACTTGGCTTTGGGGGAATGGGATGGCGGTTTCCAGCGTTGGGGAGGGGAAGAGGAGGATGTCGAGGTGCTGATTGTCTTCTGGTGGATTGTGGGGCTTGTTGAATGAGTGTCTGGTGGGTTCGTTTGACAGGGAGAAGGACGAAGAGTCGGTGTAGATCTGGGTAGGGGGTGTGGTGTGCAGGTATGACGTATTCTCCGTTGGCAGGGTGTTATTGTAGGTGGTGAGGTGATGGAGGTCTAACTCTTGCGAGGCCTCATCTGTGCAGATGTCCCCGTCATATTCGGCTGAGAAGATTGGATGGAAGAGACCGGTTGTGCGTGCATGATGACCTGCTCTCTCGTCCAGTGCCTGGGGGCGATTCTCCATTGAAGGCCCAGGCTCTCCAAGTGGGGACAAGGGACGGAGGATATGCTGAGCGTAATGATTCATTGCGACGGGTGGCCCATTGAGCGTCTCGCACGGACGCTGTGGAAGTATTGAACCAGGATTACCATTATCATTATGAAGCGAGTTAGTCTGAGTGTCCAGCGACGACGGAGTTGGGAGGCCCTGCGAGTACGACCCGGTCCTCAGATGGCCCAAGCCAATCTCTGCCGAATCTCCAGCCCCAAACGATGCCATCGTAGACTGTGTCGGCATTACTACACTACCACCATTCAACAGGCAGCGAGATCGCCGAGCCACATGCGCAACCCCCGTCCTCTGTCGATGCTCCATCCCACAGCCATCAGACAACATGCCAATCATACTAGACGACACATAGAAGAAATCACTAGGCGGTCGATAACCCGTCATGGACCAATTGAGGTCCGAGTAGTCCGCGCGATCCCAATGCTTCATCAGCGCAAATAGAATGTCAAACGCATAGCCTGGGTTCATGTGAAAATCCCGTTGCCCCCGGGTACAAAGGTACGACTGGACCTCCAAGCCCCGGATATACGGGTCGTCCTTGGTGTACTTTGCCTTCGCGACGCCGGGCTGCATCCAGCGCTTGTGGTCACCTCGCGCGTAAAACCGGGCCACCATATCCAAGAAGCCGTCTTCGTCTGCCGAGACCCCGAGAATGTATTCCATGTTCTGGACGGTCATGAGCAGACGCTGCATTGTCCCGGATGCGCCCCAGGCTGGGTGTTTCTGGTGCTGTTGGCATATCCAGCAGTCGGCGTCTATGAGCGCCGTGGTTGCGGTCTGTTCTTTGTGGTTCCTGGCCTCTTCGAATGCGCAGGTCATGTAGGAGACTATGAGGTGGGTACAGGCGTGCCAGAACACGACCATTTGACACATTGTGAGTCGGTGGGGAGGTTATGCGTTATGTTGCTGTATGGGTACTGGGGTGAGCTTGTGCCGGGCCTGGCTACTTCCAGGGACGCTGTGCAATTGGAAGATGTGATGATGGGTGGAGGCATTTGGATATGAGTGTGGTGGCTACATGGTCTCGAAAGGTGCGAGTGGCCATGTTTGTTTTGTGTTACTGGATATCTATGTAAGTGTAAGTTGTTGTTTTGTATATATGCTTGGTGAATGAAAGCAGTGAATATAGCATCAGTGTCATGTTATGCAGGGCTTGTTTGGATGTGTTTAGCAGAGTGAATTTGGTCTGATGCTCTTTGATTGAGAGCACAAGCAATCTATGAGATGTAGTAGTATAGATATTTATACTGACTTGACTTAGGGATGGTATAGTCCTGCACTCGGATATTGTCGTAATGTGAGGTCCATATATGCCTCTGCCCCAGGAGACCTTATATCTGCTGTTAGGGCCAAGTGTAGGAACAGGACGAACTTCGCTGGAGGCCTAAGGCAAGGTCCTTTATCCACTGAGAAACAGCTTCTAGAGTACATATGGGAGACTAGTGTGCGACTTTAACTATAATGTTTATATTCACCCATTTTTGCATCGTCAAGGTATGCATAGTTCAATATTATCTCTAATGATTGGGCAATCAGAGTTGTATAGAGGTACACTGAGGACTAACGCCAAAGAGAAAATATTAATCTAAGCCTGTAGCTCAGGATCCAATATATTTGCTGATAATGTGGTGCATTCGTCTTTTATAGTCCAGATCCATCAGGTAGTACGTAGTGTTTGATTCATACAACTATAATGTTCTAAATCAGTATACACATACTACCGATCGGATACCCTGGACTATTCCTATCATATAAGTATATCTATGTCCCGAGTCTAAGAAATACGATCCTCTTACTAATTCCGCGGTAGGGCGTCGAATAGTGAGACATCCCACCTCGCACCCAACCCTATCTACCAATCAATGTACCATCCGTACCAAGGAACGAACCTTAGTACACGCACAACGGCTGACAATAAATCAGAAGCCGATACAGACACCTCACAGGGTCTCCATCAGCGCAAGTGTAGGGACACGGTTCGACCAACCGCGATGCAAGGAGCGAGCGCGCAATGGGCCAACTTTTGTGACGGTGGCCCACTAGGTCTATAAATATCACGATTTGAGTCAGTTTCCACTGTTAGAACTTAGAAGTAGAATCGGAACTCCGTTCGATTTTACCGCTTTTTTTGTCCCAGGAGATGCGAGTAGATAGATATTGTATCGGGCATTGTATACTCTTCTTCTCGAATGTTCCAGAGTGAACCAGTCTTTGCTATACATTATTACTACCGGTATTAAGATTCGCGATTGACTAGATATGACTTCGCAAGTATGCAGAAGAATGTAAGACACTCCATTCCCGATCCCAGTCTCGGACAAGCTGACATCCAGACGCTGACAGAATGAGAGGTATCCACTGCATGTCTTAAACCTCACTGAACACACCGAATGTAAGGCATTATACAGTACTGCAAAGAGCGAGCTTTACGTATTGTCCAGAAATAACATCGAGCAAGATAAGAGTAAAGGGAATTTCTTACTTCGTTCGACCTACATATCTGGTACCTTGTCACTAGCGTCCACCCGGAGTAGCGATGCATCATGTACATTGATAGCGCTAACCCATCAGCAACTAAAAGTTATCTCCGAGGCACACATAACAAAGCTAACAGTCTGCTGCGGGTCACATGGGTGGGTCATGACAGGGAAGGTTACTTCCAAGGAATATTCAGTCAATCTTCATACAACTTGCGGTGATCAAAGTTTAGCCGGCAGTGTTCTTGTTTTTTGGTTTAGTTTCGCCTAGACGTCTAAGGACGGTGCTACCCGTAAAACTGAGGTGTAGTTTATGTTGGCACTGACCATCTAGTATGAATACCTTCTGTGTACGGAGTACTTTACATACGATGAAAAAAAAAAAAGGTAAGAAAACGAAGGAAAGCTTTGGTGGATCTCAGTCAGCCAGGGCTATGTCAGAATATCAAAGAGTGTGTCTTCCTCACCGGCCGAAGCCCCGCTTAGTGACTACCCATTCAAGCGACATGCAGATTCCGCTAATCGTGGCTAACATGACCATCTCGCTGGCTTTACACCAATGGTAAGGAAATGGTAATGCCGGCAAAGAAGATAGAAAAAAAGAAAGAAAGAAAAGGAAGGTGAAAGAACTAAACTATTCAATACTCAGTAGTCGTAGTGGAACCATACGTTCCAATGGAATGATCATATGATTCTTGGGTTGTGGGAAGCGGATAAACTCTGCATGCGGACGAGGAGGGCGCTGTGTGACTAGAGTAGTAAATACTTCTACGGGCACGGGGATTCCCATCGATTCGTCAGCGTGGGAGAACTCCTGGGTCAACATAAGTCGTACTGACGTTTCATGTTGAAGTATCTGCAATGCATAGTGAACTGTCCCGTAAGCTTGACAATATGTAACCGGAGATATATAAAAACGGCGGGAGTACCGGATGGGGGCCGCAGGTGTTTGACTGCACATGCAGCTGTACGTTGACTATCGCAATATGGACAATTATGTGCCAAGTTTCGTGGCATCCGAGATTGTGTGCAAATTGAACTGTTGTAACTAGTGCTACTGTTACTTTAGGTACTACTCGAGTAGTGCCTCTAATAACCATAATCATGTGAGCAGATGCGGGGAAACCGTCCATTGTGCCTGAGTACACAGGCAAGTTCCTGGCAGACGGGAATTGACTTTTCTGGGTTCGTGGCTCCCAAAGGTCAGGTACCTTTCCACAATACTACTACTGATAGGTTGTTAAGAGAAAAGTGTATGTACATACAACCAAGGTAAGTATGTATGGTTTCTGTGGTCACAGATTGCATAATTATCTAAGCGGAACTTGCACACACACGATATGAACCTTTTGATATCGCTTACGAGTGCGAGCACGCTAATCATCCAACGTCGACTATTTCTGGATTTGGCCGACCGTTGTTCGATATGGGATGATCATTATACTGTGTAGGAACTTGGAAGTCGTTTTTCCCACTGGCTAGTCTGTACTCCACATTTTCGGTTATTCCCCAGATATACCTTGTAACGAAGCGACCCTTTGTTCGTCGGTCGACCAGGATTAGTTATGATCATCCCTCGCTGAGACCCCCCGTCCTTAACGCCGCCCCTGAAACCGCGTCGCTCATACCAGGAAGGGACTGGTGCAGACATGGATATGGACTATCCTCTTTTTACACATGTCACTCTGACAGCATTCAGGGTTCCTGAATAAATTATCAAGAGGAACGTGCGCTTACTCTTCCAATCATGCACCGTTTTACTTTGGCCACGTAGGAGTTGTCATGTTGGAGCCCCAGATTGTCATCATTCCAACCCTGCATTTGGTATGTGAAGCAAGTCGAGGCCAGAGGGGTCGAGGCATTTGTCATAACAGGAACCGCTTTTTAAGTAGTTGAATTGCACCGCCGCATTGGGCAAGCTAAAACCACTCCGAGGGTAAAAAAGTTTGTTTACTTTCTTTATTTTCCCTTGACTTACGTATTTCAGAGGTCGACATTAACCCCTCATATGGAGTAGAGAGGGCTGGGAATGTGATAAAAAAATAAAAATAAAAAAAAGAGAAAGAAAAAAAGAAAACAAAGGAAGAAGAGAAGTTCGGGGTTTATTTAAACTCTTTGCCACCTTTGAAGGCGTTGGAATAGAAAATCTCCGTAGACGATATCAAATAATATGGAGAATACTCCATCAACAATGAAACCTGGTCGCTCTATTACGATAAAGGGAATGAAACGGCGCTCCTGCCAATTTGAAAATGAGGATCCCTATCCCCGTCTGAAGGAGCCCTTCCGTTCCTAGTAGATTATGCATTACCATTCCATATCCACTTGGCTCCATTCTCAAGTTTGTTCTCCATATAACTCCGGCAAATCAATGGAGCCATGGTACATCGCCTGTAGTTGAAATTCGGTGTGACTCCGCACCGTATGATGCTTTCTCCATACTTCTCACAGACGCCGTAGTCTCGAGACCAGCACCCACAGTGCTACTACTCCACAGAACTTATCGCGTTCGGATTCTGTAGGAATGTCCATTCCCCACCATCCAAGGCAGCTGGAGAGTGACTGTGGAACAGTTTCGAGAGATTGCCTCGATACGGAGTTCAAGGAACATTCCATACAGACAATCTCCCGGGTCACGAGGTTTTAAAGTAGATGACAGTCTGACTCGCAGGAATGTCGAGTTCCTTGGATCAGATAGGGACCCATGCTTCAGCAGCAGGTCCTGTACAATACCCCTCACTCCTTCTCCCACAGATAAGATTGTAGATGAAACACCCACTACGACCACTGTGCCGCGTCAGTTGGGAAAATCCCAACAAAGCGGAACAGTGACTGCCTCATTTGGTTAAATGGAACTTCCGCCATCTTGATAAGAGTTTTCTCTTTCTTGCGCGAACGGCAGATTGTGGGGAAATGAGGTGCAGACGGTCGAATGAAATCTGAACCTCGATGGACGGAGGGTCCATGATATGCACCCGCTGCCGTCAAGTTGAGTGACGCGGTTGGCGAGGGAAAGGCCCCGAGTCGAATCAAATGCTGGCTTGTGGTGTCGATCACGCGGGAACTCCTTACGCTGATCTGCGCGAGCGACTACTTACTTAAGCTAATTTTTATTCTTTTCTAAATTACTTTCTTATTTTCCCTTTCATACAAATCTTTGAGAGAGGAAACCGAGTATGATTTATGTAGTGCAGTACATCAGTCGGGGTCTCCGGAACAATACCAACCACAGAGCAAGAAAATGACGGTGGCCTATTGCGAAATAGCCGAATGCCCACCTGATAACAATAATGCCTAAATATGTATGGTCCGATCTGTTGAAAAGGGAAAAAGAAATACCAAAAAACTAATCAAAAAAGTGGGTCACCGATTGTCCTCATGCATATCGGCTCAACCGAACCGAGATCACTGTTCCCATCGGTTCTGTAGCAAAATCTCTAACAGGTGAGCCATATGTGATGTCTACACCGACAATGTCATGAAGAGAGACAACACAAAGAGAACGCATCAGCAAGAGCGATCCGAGTGTCAAAACAAAGTCTCGTGGCGCTTTTATTGAAGCTTCTATGGGTCCCCTCGCGTCGTGATTCCAACACGTTGGAAACCTTGGGAGTTTAAATAGCGTATAGGAATTTGTAGGAAGCGAGAATTTCCCTCTTATTATCAGGGACTCTACGGGTCGTTGCCAGCTCTCGGTTCACTCCAAGGCAGCCAAGAATTGTATTGTACCAGAAAGCTAATTTCGTAGGTCAGTAAGTAGCCGCTTTGTATGTATTACTGTGGTATTCGGTATGGGGTTTATGCACATAGGTTTGTACATACTTTGTATACATCGTTCCATGGGTTGGCCTCCTTGAAAAAGTATCATATCCGTGAAACGTAAAGGTATAATATTCATATATTTAAGTATGTTGTACTCCGTATGTCTCTAGAGATAAACAGCATTTGACTCTCAACCAGAAAATACTGCCTCGGATCCCTGCGTCCAAGAGGATTAATGCTTATGTAGTAATGGTTAGTAATGCGTTTTGCGCTGCATGAGTAGGCCGAATCCTATTTGGAGATTTTTGAGTGTACATTAGCCTCACTGACCGCTAACCAGGCACGTCCAATAGAGCCACGTTTTTCTTTGTTTTCGCCTATCTGGCTACTTTTTCTTTTTTTGCCTTCTGCCGTTTGATACCCTGCCACCATGTATGTATAAACCATTATACTACTCCGTACATGATGCCTACATGATACCCTTCTGGATGGCTTGCGAATCTCTTTTTTCGACGATATAAAGATGACGTGCAATTAGTTGCTAGTGAGATGCCTGACATCACATACATACACTAGTACATCCTACACAGGACAGTTCCGTCGGTTGCCTCGGAGTTAGCTCAACTGCTAGGCTAACTATCTAGTATCCATGGTACACAACCAGAAGCGTAGGAGGCTGCAACTACGAGACGTGAGAATGGTCAGTTCGCAATTTGCTCGTCCACAATGTGGGCTATCGATTAGGTTGGTGGAACAGAACTCCCTGATCCACGGAAGTAATAGCGGGAATCTCCCACGGTTGTGAGAATTACCACGGCGATCCAAGAACAGATTAGGATTTTTCTTTTCGTCTTTCTTTCCCCCCGCCGCCGAAGGATTTGGAGGCTGTTGTTGTTTTGCCTGAAATAAAGATGAATCATAAGATCGATGACTCAAAGTAGGTGACGAAAATCTCGAGGATCATCATGCATCCGCTATACCTATCTCAATCAATGATCTATTGATTAGTTCCGCTGGTCAGGGATGACATGCTTCAATGACATCAAGCTCGGCATATGGTTGACCAAATATTGGGAACTCCGTCGCTAGTACGAATTCTTTCTTTAGGGGGCAAAGAAAGCCAATGTCAATGCTTCGAGGACCGCCTGGTTCTGAAGGAACGCTGTTTACTCCGGTAAGTGTGTGCGCTAACAGAGCAACGGACAGCCTGAACTGTTTGGATTGGCATTGTAGCTGTACTAGGCAGTTGTTAGTGGTCATGACTAACTGTCTCCAGGATGTTTCTCCGAACATCCGTGGTTTAGGTCTCGGGGACTCCATCCACCTAGGATGGCGTTACAGCTAAGAGTTTTAGCAGCTGTGTGGTCGCAAATCAGCGTCCAATTTGCTCACCCGATCGCGCTTCAATAAGTTTACTAGAAATTAAATGGCCCCCAGAGGTCGTGGCCTCATGCACCCGACACGTTCTCTCCTAGCACTCTGTTACTTGCTTTTTTTTTTTTTTTTTTTTTTTTTTCCTTTGCCGCATTAGGACGGTCAAAAATAAAAATACTAAACAGAGAAAAAAAAATAAAATAAGGGAACGCGGCTGATCGTGTATAATTTGTTCCGTGTAGGAAATGCATGGAGTTGGCTAGTACCTCTTGCCTCAGGCAGACCGGACGTGTACTTACGAAGGGAATTGTGTGTGTTTTACCGTATGATATTTATTCTCGTAAGTAGTACCGAAAAAGGGAGGGAAAATCGAATCTCTCTTATCCAGCGGTTTACCCCACAGATCAATGTTATATATCCATTCCCACGAGCGAATTGCACAGATGCTTTTTATATTAATATCAATCTGGGTTCTTGACCATGCTTCTCCCAATGGCCGCAATTTGTTCCTCCAGTGCATTCCAGAAAGATTGACGCTTGTTGTCACGGCTAACGAGTAGGTTGGAGAATTAAACTTAAGGGGTTTGTTTCCCTGACCCGCCCTGGAGATACAAGTAGTACGTATTTGGGGTATTTTTGGCATGCCGTACCTACCTTCTTGGTATGATTACCGGTACCGGGCAGGTACTCTGTAAAGTAACTCTGGACAACGGGCCGGGAGAGACGGCAGATCCGAGTCATACTGACTACTATTTATGTAAGGTAGCAGTAGGCAAGTTCAGCTGAACAGTCGTTGGTTATTACTAGTATTGTGTCTGTACCAGTGGTTCCGTAAAGAGCATATGGAGTTTCCATACGGTACAGCCCCAGAGTTGTCTTACCCATGAATGAGTGGTTGGCTGATGAATTGTAAAGAGGAGATTCAGGAGAACTTAATATGATATTAATATACCAACAAGTGGTTGATAGTCCCGACTGCGGTACTAGCCAGAAAAGGCTTTAGTTCTATCTGTACAAGTGTACCAAAATTTTTAATTTTTAGGATTTTTAATTATAGCAAAGAGGAACGAATGTGCACCCTCAGTCAAGTTTTGGCATGACTTGCAGCTGGGTGCAATAATAGCAACAGGTGGAAATAGTAGGTCAAAACGGTTCTGAGTCCTCATTCAGAAATTTTCTTTTGTCTTGAACAGTTATTTTCATCTTGTGTAGAGTATCTATCCACGGGGATTGTTGAAGAAGCGTAAGTGTCTCTAACAATTTTTCTTTTTCTCTGTGGGTTAGTATTGTTGTTATGATTATTTGATTTTATTTCACCCTACTGTGTTCTTTGGTTCCTTGCGGTACCTGAACGTTTCTACTCGCGTTCTTTGGAAAGGGCCGGCCGTCAGTCAGTCTCCGCCGCCTGTCACGATTCCCCTAAAGTTGACTAGCATCCATTCCACACCATCCTCACCTCCCCCATTATCTCCCTATTCCCTTCTTTTTCCATTCCACGCCTTTCAGCCCCTCCTGCTCCTCTTCCCTTTTTTCTCTCTTTCTTCCTACTCTCGTCTTTCCATCTCATCCGCATTAATTTCCTCCGATCCAGTGAACGGCCCATCTTCTGCTTGAGTCAGAAGATTAGGTGCCCATTCTAAGGATCTGGTTTCTCCCCTTTTCTTTTTGCGTTTTTTGTCCTATTTACTTTTTTACTTCTTGTTCATTGTCGTTTGTTATCTTCGTGGTTATCTTCATTCCTCCATATACTCGTCTCATTTTCGATTCGCTTTTGTACATGGCTCGACCGCTCTAGACAGCATTCGCCATCCTGGACTGTGTTTCCTTGCGCCTTACTCGTTGAACTCCCTCTTCGACCATCGCCCAATTCGAGCCTTTCGTTTTCCTTTCCTGTGTCTCCGACATCGTTTTCGCATTCACGCTAGCGTTCTCTTCTTTTTCTTTCTTTCTTTCCCCTTAATCAAGTCATATCTGTATAATCTATCATTTGCATTTGTTAGAACAGGTACGTACGGACATCCTGTTTTACTTTCTAGGGGGGCGCGAGAACATAGTGCTGGCGAAGGAAGCATCGATCATGCATCGGCCAATCTTCGTCCTGCTTTTCTGTTTTTTGTGCGATCTGTGCTGACGAGCATGTGGTACAGGATCTCTGTTTTCTTCCTTTCTCCTCCCTCGAGTTACTCCTGACCCTATACCTACCTCCACTTTTATCCTGCGGACTATAGCGAGTTCACTCCGTTGACATCGCATCCATCAGACGCCGTTACTTACGCGTCAAACCCCTTTCCATCTGGTTACCAGGGGAGAACACCATGGCAGCGTTGGTACAGACAATCCCGCAACAAAGTGGCACGGTCTCGGTGCTTCAGACTCGTCCCTCTTCTTCTTCAGGCGCCTTTACTCCCTCTCAGTCCTCGCAACAGCAGAACTCCCGAAATTCAACCATGTCTTGGAATTCATACAATACGGTCGGTGGATCGGGGAGTTACAGGGTAGGCCACCAGGTCGTGGCACCTTATGCTTTTACTAGCACTCCCAACCTCTCCAGTTCGACCAACATGTCAAACCGTCAGTCATGGTCCCCTCACTTGAGGCCGGAGCATCGAACGTCCTCTGCTCCGTCAGCTCCTCAACTGTCTCCAAGTCCTGCACACCCCGGAGTCAACTCGCGTTTTGCCAATCCTGCAGCTGGTTCTGTATCAACATCCTCTTCCAATTCTTCCGTTCAATCTTACATGTCCAAAGACGACACCGCCATTCCGTCGAGACAGCCGCGTGGTGGCGAACCACCTCTCCGTCCTTTATCTACTATTAACCTCCCTTCTCCTCCCTCTCCTAACTTTATGAACATTTCATCTCCGACTGTTGCCCGCCCATCGCCTGATCGTTATCGTCGCGGTAGTCGTCGACCGGATGGTGCCGGAGCCTCGCAGCCCGCTGTTACACCAGCCAACGCACCCGGATCTGGCCGTCTTCCGCCGACGACGGACGACCACCTTGCACAATCGAACATCGCGTTAGGATCTAAGGGACCGGCACAAGATACGTCCCGTAAACCAGGCCACAACCGGGCTCCCAGTGCCGATGATTCGTCGCGGACAGAAAAACAGCCGGAGCTGGCGAAGAGATACAGACGACGAAGCTGTGGCAATCTGGATAATGCTGGTCTCATTAATCTACAACTTCATCTGCCCTCGTCGTCACCAATTCCGACAACAGGCGGCCATGATTATTTCGATCCAACCAATAGGCCAAATTCGGCACAGTCCAACAGAGATGCTTCGGGAAGCAATCATTCCCCCCACTCCTCTACCTCTTCTGTAAGAGCAACATGACATAGTATCCAGTCTATATTACCAGCATGTGGCTAACGTTGACCAGGTTCGTGATACAGCACATACGGAGTCTGCGTCGTCGAACAAAGCGGGTGCTAAACCGGATGACACTAAACGAGTGACAAAACCGTCCCCATTGTCGCAACCTGTTACTCAAGATCCCACACCTGAGAATACAACAACGGCAAAACCAGAGTCTAAAGATAAACGCCTTCCAACGGACAGCATTGCAACACAACGTCTGGCTGAGATTACGAACAATGATTTCAAGAGACCCGGAAAATCCCGGTTAAGAAGAGCTTTCTCGTTCGGAAGCGCATCAGAACTTCTCAAGGCCTCTGCTCAAAGTAGCGCGAGCAAGAAGGAGGCTATTGCTGCAGAGCAAGCTCGGAGGGAACTGCTCAAACAGGAACTGGGCCCCGAGCAGGCCGCCATTGCTGAACAACAAGAAGCCAGTGGCCTTGGCGAAAGTATCTACTCTCATCACCAAGGCCGCTTTTTTAACAGCTCTACAGACAATTTGTCTGTCTCTTCTACAGCATCATCCGCTTCGATCATGCTCCGGAAGATGGGTAAGGGGATGAAACGGTCGACGAGGTCCCTCGTTGGTTTATTCCGCCCCAAGTCAGTTATGAGCACGGCATCCAATGACGGCGTTATCGTCGAACCGATGGCGCCTCAACTATCCGTGGTCAACGTCGAAGCGGAACGGAAAAACGTAGCTGTGAATCCGGACCCGCAAGATGTCCCTCGGGGCGGGACAGTGTTTCCCAAGGTTGAACCTAAATCCCGAAGTCCATCGGCTACGGAAGATAGCGCTGCAGATAATTCTCAAACGCGTAAGAGCATTGTGGGAGGTGATAGGGAGCGGGCGGAGGTTCTAGCTGCAGTAAGGAAGGGTATCCTCAAAAGTGGGTTTCTTTTTCACGCTCTCTATCGTGGTGGGCTCTCCTTGACTAACATCTACGATCAGAAACCTCCGAAGCAGCAAATTCCACACCGAATAAGCAGGCTGAGCGTCCTCTGGCCACGAACAGGAGCGATTCACCTCATTCCAGTGTCCCCAGTACTCCTGAGGACCAAACACGGTCGGAGAACCGACGTGCTGACGCAGTCCGGATCGCTGGTGTGGATGATTTCCTACCAGAAGGGCGGTTCCTTGATTCCAAGGGAGCTTCCATTACACCAGCGGCTCCTAAAAGTCTCGTCTTCAGTCCCCGCATCCAGTTCCATGATACATGGCCGAGCGGCGAGTATGATCGTCGTGGGGACATCGCCACCTGCAACCGACTGACCCCTCTCCTTGCCCAACAGATCAAAGAGGAGCTGAACAATTTCAAGATGGTGAGTTGAGCTGGAGCCCACGAGACAGTTTCTTCCTTGGCAAACGCTAACATAGCTGTAGGAGATGGAAGTTCATGAGACCTCGAAGATTTATACCCACTTCCTCTAATCCGCTGCATTTCGAACGGCGTTCTTATTTTTATTCGTATTTTTTTTTTTCTTTCCCCCTCTGCCTATTCTGGGTGACATTTGTGCCATTACTCTCTGGACGGCTGTTGGATCTATGAATGGCGTGGTTATCCAACATTTGGCGTGTTGACTTGTAGACCTGCTTTTCTTAGAGCAGCATTTGGGTTGCGTCTTCAGTTCTGCTGCCTGTGGACTTCGAAAACGCCCTTCTGATCCTTTTTGCCGACTTCGCAAACCCCGACCATTCACTTGTGTGTCTGCTATGTTCTCGGTGTTATGGCGCTAGCAGCTTGGTTTCTTGTGCGTTGAAATCTGTGGATTTTACATTGAAGAATGGATTGAAAATTGGAGCTGTGCATACTTTGTTGTTTCTTTTGATTGTTTGTGATCATCCGGCTCCGATCTACTTTGCCTCCCTACCTTTGAGCTTCGATCTGTGCCTTTATCTCTCCCCGAGCTCAATTATGCTTACGGATTCCTTTAATCTCTCCCACCTGCGTTTCACTGCAGTTGAGTTGCATCAGAGCCGTCCAGTCTCTTATTTTGTGCTTTTGCAAGCGTGGAAAGGGCCATACATCCCCTTGGTTGTTGTTACCGAGTCTTGGTATTCTATCTGTTTCAGCGCTTCTCGCTTTCCCATGCATTGCACGTCTCTTGTACAGCTTTCAGGGACTGGTCTATCATCATACTTGGCCTAGTCTATTGTTCATTGCCTGGGTAGTAAAATGCAGCAGTTCACGGCCCATCTCAGGGCAGTCATGATCCTCGGGGTTTCTCTTCCAGAAGACTAGAGCTATTTTCCGTATAAGTAGAGCATCGATCGAGTTATCTTATACATAGAATGCTTTCGTAGCTGGAGCGTGAAGTCATATTACTAGGGATGCTGTTATGCACTATGAATAGAACCCTCTTGAAGTAGAAACCTATGTTTGAGGAAGGACTACTTGCATCAAGCACAGAGACGTTGACGCACACCATCTTCTGGAATTGTTCATCTCCGAGACTGTAAGTCACTAGTGTCTTAAAGTAGTCTAATAATCTATGGGCCAAGGGCACTATTTTTAAGCTAGCGGCCGACTACGTGTATCTTAAGACAATAGTACAAGCAACAGGGCTAGTCCCTTCTTGATCTCTGGTCTGGACGTGGCCATTTTGCCATAACGGTCATTCGAGGAGGACCTCGGCCTAAACAGGGGCGTCAAAAATACTCAGTTCCATTCGGCTTTGTGGAGCACCTGCGATCCATGAATCAGCTGCAGCTGTTTGTCTAAAGGGGCAGCGACACACGTCTCAGGTGGTCTAGCTAGGATGATCCCGCTTCTTCTTCGCTTCGATGGGTCTCTAAGAGTTCTGTCGAAAAGCAATTGTCGGGAGTGGGGATATATGCACACAGAATGGCCCTGTTAACAGTGTGTGAGTGTTAGGATGTATCTTTTTTGTACGTGTCCTCCCATTTTCCTCCATGTTTCGTTCTATCCACTTCTCTCGTATTTGTGATTGATGAATGGGAGTCTATAGGTCTGGTTGTTCTCGCAAATCTCTTGGCTCCTTTATACATGTTTTTACGTGATGCTTGCACAGTAAACTATTCGTGCTATATCTACAGAGATTGGGCTACAGCTAAAGGCTCACTCTGGTGAAACTTGTAGAGGTATTCATAGAAGCTTCTCAGGTGTATAATGATGCCATTATGACTCTCAGGAGCTTTCGGAGTACACTGTCTGAAGTAAATTAGATTAATAAATGAGTAGCTCAATATATCTGCAATCCTTGCCTAGTATCGAAAAGACCATAAATTGGGCGCCATGCCACCTTATCAACAGTCCATAATTCATATAGCACCGTCAACCCAATGCTATATCAGCCCCCAGAAAAGCAATACCTAGAAAACCCCATAACACCGAAGCCGACATAGCTCCCCAACAATAAGAACCCAACCTAGCAGAACCCCTTCCCTCTCCTGCCGAATGACAACCGGAGCTACAAACCCAACAAGCTGCTAGCCGAGCAAAACGGCCGACACAGTCCCAGACATCATATAGAAGGATTTTCTCGGTTGAATTCCAAACTCTCCCCACACCGATTCCCCTTCCTTCGACTCTAACTCGGGTAGGGATCATCTAATTCGGGCCGGGGGGTTGTCTTGGCCCGAGTACTGTCCGGAGTACATATTACAATCTTCTCTTAAGTGTCAGACCCCATGAACTGGACCTATTGCATGCTGACACAACCATAACCATAGTAGGTACTGCCGCCCTGTATCCCTCCTCCACCGGGGGTATGTATACACAAGGTCTACAAAAGCAACTCACCCAAGCAACTCCACAGAACCACACCACCGGCTAAAAGCAAAAAGAAAAAGGTAGAAACACCGGCCCCCCTAGATCCCGAGAAGAAAAAAAGAAAAAGAGGAAAGAAAAAAAAAATTTCTTCCTTCCTCCTTCCGTGCATTAATCTACTCCGTAGTTAATTCGTCTCGGTAGAATTCTCGTGGTCAGACAATAGCTTTTTGCACGAAAATTGCCGATGGTAGGCTTAAGTAAAAGGTTACGGATTAGGGTTTAGCGTTTCAACCCCCACGCTTTCTCGTGGCCCACGTTACCTTCACGTAGCATTCGGGTTCCCCACTCTTTGCATCCCGGCCCTGCGCTGTGTTTGTTTGTTGAGATGGGGAATGTGCATCGGTCTGGTTTGGGGTATGTAGTCGAGGGTGGCGTTGGTTTGAGCTTTGCGTTGTGCTTGGGCCTTTGGGGTTCTCTTTTGGGGGGTAGGTTTTTGTTGTGTAGTATATGGGATGTGTCTGATGCTTTGGAGAGGGTATTGAGTGCAGTGTTGGTGACGTATGTGTTCGGATTTTATGTATGTTTTTTTTTTTTTTGGGTCTTGTTTCTGTTCGCGTGGGATATGAGGTGATGGGTAGGTTTGGAGGATTGGTGGTAGGGGTTGTATTTGATGGAGGATTATTCCGCGTCTCTGGGATTGGATCTTGTGGTTGACCTACTTGGTTATTTGGTACTGACCTTTTGGTAGAACCCTTATCTCTTTCTGTGGATGATAGGTTTTCAAGCCTAGAACTTATACTTCTAGGAGCTGCACTACAGCCTCCCGAGTCAGCTCACTGGCCGACCTTCTTGTCCGTGGTGAACAGGCCGTAGTCACGGTTCTCGTAGATGGCTGTTTATCACGGTGCCAGCTGATCATCCTCATACAAGAGGGTAAGCAGAACAGAGAGAGAGAGACATTCTATAGTGTCCCATCTTCTTGTTGAACTCGAGCTTCTCGAAGTCAGGGCAGCCTTTGCAGCGCACCCCGTGCTTACCATCGCTGACATTGACGAGCGAAGACATGAAGATGGCCTTGTTGTTGACGTCGTTGCAGTCGGGGGGCGTGTTCAGGAAGAAGAAGCCGTCGGCGTTGACGGAGGCCATGCCATCGTTGACTGAGCCGCTCTTGATGGAGCAGATCTACAAGTCTGCTGTTGCGAGGGGGGCGAGTGCTGCGGCGGCGAGAGTGGCGATGGCAAACTTCATGGTGAATGGTTGGAGAGAGAGAAGGATCTTTGAGGATAGAGTAGATGGGTGATTACATGCTTTGGTGATTGTGTTCCTGGTATATACGAAGGAGTCTCAAGCTGGCTTTATAGATCCAGAGGTGTTGGCCTTGTTTTTGTCCATTCTGTCTCCGTATTCCCTCACCAAGGCAATGGATATTCAGATAAACAGGGTTTGCTGATTGAAGATACTGGAATAGGAATGACGGAGAAGGGGCCAAAATATGGATACATGCTATATTTGTGATATTAAGGAGTTGCTGGAGCTCTCTCGGTGGTACCTGGGGAACTGCAGCAGGGATCTACTAGCTTCGACTGTCAGGCCCAGACAGACTTCGAGGCGGAGCCTCAGGGTCTACAAGCGCGATTACGACGGTGGCTGCTGCAGTAGAAGATTTAGAGATGTATGAGTATACTCAATTTTATGTAAATGGCTGGTCAATGTCTATTGGCTATGACGTAAGGCTCGATCTTGGATAGAATCCCGATTAGGTATGAAATTACTACAAACGACCAACGACCATCGCAACCGTTCTGTGGTACCAGTGGATCAGAGGTTCAGCTTTGGCAAATTGCAATGTCCCTACGTGAGTATTGCCAGGGAAAGTGGATATAGGAATGCAGTGCATTGATTGAATACGAGGATTATCTCTTCTACTGTGCATCTTAGCATATAACAGTACAAAGGGTTCCATAGTTCGATAGAATGAGACTACTTAGTACCTTGAGCATAGATACACTTACTCTTCAATACCTTCTCTTTCGTCTAACTGTGTTGAGAGAAGAGCCTTCAACAGATTGACCCGCTCAGTACTTCATACTCCATGTGGCGACTGTGATGCTTGGCAGTAATTGGGGGGCCGAAAATTTTGGTTGACGTTCCATGGGTCACCCGAAAAGTCAATTAACTGCTGTGGCTCTATTTTGTTTCCAGCGATAAACAATGACTGAGAACATTTCTTATATGCTACCTATCTTTTTCTACGTCGTGATGCGCCAGAAGGAATGAGTCCCTATCTTATGTTGTGGGACGGGGCTAATTCGGGACAGGGTTTTGGCCCAGAGGGTTCAATGCTCAGGAACAACAGTGTCGGAATGGGTGACAGATCCCTCCAAACTGGATTTCATCCTGCCATATTCTGGATATATAATCTGTGAATACCCTCTCGTAAAAACCGACGTGTATATAAAAGGCAAGATGTGAGAGCGTAGGAGAATTCCCAAAGGCAGCACGTGAGGGCTCTCAATTCCGAGTGCACCACGTGCCGACGCCGCCCGACCCGTGCCGATCTACAAGCCCTAGTCCACCTGCAGTAGATTCACACCACCAAGAGAAAATGACGTACGAGTATTGCCTCTTCCTCTCAGGAAGGATCCCGAGCTGCTAGTATCTGTCTTTATAGCTTTTCCGTCAACGCGGAGTAGTGTATTGCCACACCGACAATTAGAACATGTTGGTATCTACCAGACCAGATATGGACGGGTAGCCGAGAAGCTGGGACCGGAAGTGACCCCTGGGTCCCGGCCCACGGGGAACGTCCGGGCGCGGGGGTCATATGAGTTAGTAATACATTCTGCTGCAAAAGCTTGGTCAGCATCTTGTCGGAGCCGAGATCTTGTGCTGAAATTCCAGGGGCAGTGTGGTTATAACCGCCGCCTCTGTCGGGGGTGAAGTTAAGCTTGAATTCTCTGGGTTATCAGCGTTATGAACCATTTTTTTTTTTTCCTAATAAAATGATTTAATGTGATTCGGAATCGAAGTAAACTGCCGAGAGCGCATATCCCGTAAGGAGGGCGAACCCCCACGGAAGCCCCGAAACAACCCCCACGAAGATTTTGTCACAAGAGAAGAGAAAAAAAAACCCCCACGCGTCGTTCACTCCACAATTGCAACTCGCTTGGTTCGTTTCTGCTTCCTGATTCCACGAAGGCTCTTCCCCGGTCTCCAGATGTCTATCTTTTTACTTTGGTCTTCCCCAGTCTTTTTCCCCGCCTTCGCCTTCCCCATTGGTCTCAACCATACCTAATTGACTCGGTCCCCATTTGCCTAAATTTCATCCCGGCATGGGAATATGTCGGGAAACCCAACGGGTGCTGTTCCGCGGGTCGTCATAGTTTTCTGGTCAAATTCTTTTTCTACACAAAAAGGTCCCTGATCCCGAGTCTGGATGTTTAATCTCGAACGGCACTCTCTCCTCTCCTCCCTTCCTTCCTCCTTACTTCTCTACTTTACTTCTTTTCCTTCCCCCCTCCTATCCTATCTTCTTCTCTCCCTCCTCTTTTAACCCTGTCGCCTCCGCTTGTTTCTGCTGGATTTCGGAATACTGTGTACAAACCGGCAAGCCGAAAGCTCCTAATGTGCTGGGCATGATTTAGTGGAAAAAAAAGTCAAATACTTCCTATCTCCCATACCCCCCGGGGGTCTTGTTATTCTCAGAGACGATTTGAGGAATCGACCATCCCGGACTACCATAAGCCATGGCGGACGAAATCTCTAAGGCCGGCTATGATGCCTCCCATCTCGAGGAAAGGCCCGTAACCACCACAACAAACCCGGCGCTGGCCGACCCGGCAACGCGTGCGCGGGTAGAGAAGAGCCTGAAACGCAAACTCGATGCTCGTTGCGGCTTCTTCGTTATCATCTACATCATGAACTACCTGGATCGGAACAACATGGCTGCTGCTCGTCTTAAGGGTCTCCAGGATGACCTGAATTTGAATTACAGCCAATACGCCACCTGCCTGAGTATTCTTTACGTCGGTTATATTCTGATGCAGGTCCCTTCCAACATCTTCATCAACAGAATCTCGCGGCCCTCTCTCTACATTGGAGCGGTGATGCTTGTTTGGGGTCTTATCTCGACCTTGTCGGGCGTCGCCACCAACTTCGCCGGAATGGTCTGTATCCGTTTCTTCCTGGGATTTGTGGAGGCTGCTTTCCTCCCTGGAGCTCTCATGATCCTGTCGAAATGGTACACCCGTCGAGAGCTCACCACGAGAAATGCTATCCTTTTCTGTGGAAATCTGATTTCGAATGCCTTCTCCGCACTCGTTGGAGCTGGTGTCCTTTCCAACATGCAAGGCGTTCTTGGTCACGCTGCTTGGCGCTGGCTCTTCTGGAGTAAGCTTCCTAAATCCTCTCCGGTTATCATACAGCTGACTGACATTTTCCTAGTCGAGGGTGCCGCCACAATGTTCATTGCCATTCTATCAGCAGTCATTCTTCCTGATTTGCCGACCAACACACGCGGTTTCACCAAGGAGGAGCTTGAGCTAGCTCAGCTACGAATGGCCGAGGATGTCGGCGAGGCTGATGTTGACTCTGAGGATCAAGGACCATGGGATGGCCTGTTCATGGCCGTCAAGGATATCAAGATCTATATCATGATGATCACCTTTACTGCTTACGTGGTTGGCCTCTCGTTCAACGCTTTCTTCGTAAGTTCTCCCTGTCTTGTCACTTCTTTGCATGCCAAAACTAACTCGAGAATCCTAGCCTTCCCTTACCGAAACCCTCGGATTCGGCTATGTGCCTACTCTGCTCATGAGCGCCCCGCCATGGGTGTTCTCCTGTTTGTTCTCCCTGCTCGTTGCCTGGAGCTCCGATCGGCACCAGGAAAAGGTTTGTCTTCTGCAACAGTCCTACAGATCATAAATAACTTTATCTAACTAACTCCTTCTAGTTCTGGCACATTGTCGGCCCTATCCTCGTCGGTCTGGTCGGATTCATCATCAGCATGAGTACTCTGCACGTCGCGGCCCGATACGTCGCTCTCTTCCTCCAAGCCGCTTCCTACGCTGGGTAAGCTTTCCCTCACCCAACTCACCCTCAACTATATTATCCGCCACAGCCATACTAACCACATTAAAAACCAACAGATTCATCGTCTTCTACTCCTGGATCAGTACATCCTTCCCCCGTCCCCCAGCCAAGCGTGCCGTCGCCATCGCCATGATCAACGCCTTCAGTCAGCTCGGTAACGTCGCCGGCTCCTACGTCTGGGATCTCCCCGAAAACGGCTACCGCAAGAGCTACGGTATCGTGACAGCCATGTTCGGTATCACCATTGTCGGCTGCTACGGATTCCGCATGCTCCTCCAGAACCTCAACAAGGAGCTCGAAGAGGCCGAGAACGCCGCCACCGCCCAGCAAGACGCCGACGAGACCCTGGCAATGAGCAAGGGTTTCCGGTACCTCACTTAAGGAAGGTCTCCGGAGTGTGTTTGTTTCTTTGTATAAGGGTCTAGCTGGGCTGGTTAAGGTTAAACGATTTGCGGCCTGGGTTTGCTTTGGGGGTTTCTTTTCTTTTTCTTTTTCTCGTTTCACGATGGAACGTGTATATGATTTTATTTGACATGATGGGGTTATTTTCCATGTCTGAACATATTTAGAGAATTAAAATATCTTTCAAACTATTAATCACCATACATGTAGACTTTTCGTTTAATTTTTTTATTATTATTATTTATTTATTTTTTTTAATATCTTTTGCTGGTATATAGGCTGAGTCTTTTGTCCGGACTACGAGTTGCGTTCAACTCAAATCTTCGTGGTTGGTAATGTACACTCTATTGCTTATGACTGAGTGAGACCTTTGGTTTTATTAATACAACACAGGAATGAACCACACCTCTTTATGATAAGGTAATGTTAGGTCTAGATGGTTGTACTTCATATACCAGGAATCGTTATGGGTTGGCCTTGCTCATCCCTTTAACCCCTGAGAGCATGTGCCACAGCAAAACGCAATGAGAGAAACATCTACGGATAGATAATATATGGATCCAGGATAAATAGTATAGATCAAACGATAAACAATGCTTTTTGATATCTTGTGCTCCTAACTAAAGATATTATTTCCAGTTCTTTTCGAAGTCCAGATCCAGCTGTTGGTATTAACATATTCACATAAATAAACAAAATCTATCAAGAAAGAAAAAGAACAGGAAAGGAAAGAAAAAAGATCCAGCCCAAATAACTGTTAACGCATTCTAGGACTTGTCTTCTCTTCGTGCTGTAACTTGAAATGGCAACCGGCACTGCTCTGATCAGATCATGGGCCACTGACCGTGATACACGATCTCATGGGGTGATCAGGCTGGTAGGGGTCCCCGAGGCTCGTCAGGTTCATATCCCAGTCTGTTCTTATCGTGCATAACGTGGTCGGAACATGCAGTAAGGAAAGGTCTTTGACTATTTCGGGTTGGTTGCCCAGGAAAACTTCTAAGCCGTTGTAGGTGATTCCCGGGCAGTGTAAATAAATAAGGCGTGATGTCTTTTCAGGATTAACAAAATGAGGTCTAAGCATTTCGGTTCAGGACATCATAGGGGTTCTTGTCCTTGACGCCGGAAACGTCTGTGGATGCCTCAACTTCTTCCTTGGTGACCTTCTTAGCACCATTCTTCACCGGGGAGAAGCCCTGCCCAGACTCTTGGTTGGCCAGACGTGCCTTCTGCTTCGAAGAAGCGCGAGTCCGGATCGGGGAGTTATCGGCGGCGAGCTGTTGGGACTTCTTCCGGAGTGCCTGGGCCTTGTTGATAGCTTCATCCTCAGTGGCTTCGCTCGTTTCGCCGCTCATCTCGACGGACTTCTGAATCTCACGGCTCACGCGGTGCAATGCATCCAGACCGGCCTTCTCGGCAGCATGCATGTGGGTGGCCTGCTGAGGGCTGGGGTCCTTGCGAGACAGATAAGAGCGGATGAAGAAGCGGACGAAAAGATAAGTCAGGGGCAGAAGATAAGTTACGTTGAGCCAGATCGCAAATCCTTGGCCGCTGGTGTCCATGCAAGTAACCATGGGACCCACATGAGGTTGCGATACATTGCCAGCGATCTCGGACGCATAGCCAACATTTTCGGCAATCCCTTCCGCGCCAGCTGCCCGGAAGCCAAGCTTCTTGAGCCATGGCGCGACACCGGAAGCAGTTGCAGTCGCCATGGTAGAGCGGACTGCAGACGCTGCAGCAGCAGCCTTGGACTGGGGAGGAAGAGTGTAGTGGACAAAGAGGTACGAGGCAGCCCAGGTGGTTCCGACCAGGAACTGGGTGATTTGCATGGAGGTCAGAGAGCGCTTAATCACGCCGGGGACACGAATGCGCAGAGCAGTCAGGGTATAATAAGTGTACTAAGTTTTCTTAGGTTAGCTCGCTGCAGGATCTCGTATTCAACCAATCATACGTACCATCATCGCATGGATAGCCGAATTGACCAGGGTGAAGATCCAGATGGGCGGGGCGACGTAACGGATGCCGGCCCACATGCACATCATGGCACCGGCATGGTGGTAAGTTTGCAGGGTTGAGCTCTTCTTGCCCTTGGCCAGGATAATCGCAGTATCCAAAACCTCGTAGAACTTTGACAGGTAGAAGATCCAGCCCAGGTAGGCCAACCCTTGATTCCACATCCGACCGACATCAGTAGGGTCAGGTACTCCGCCGTCAGCGAGCTTGTATTCGGGATTGTGAATGGACCACTGGTTGTCCAAGGGGTTGTACGTGGCGGCATTTCCGTAGCCACGGGGACCATTGATCTTGCAAAGCGCATCTACCACACCCACGAGGCCGTTGGGATCATCCCGGTCTGGCCACGAGTTCCGGAACGCCTGGAACATACCGGCGAAAGTCCATGCCGAGTACACGGCAAGGAAGACATTGTGAAGGATGACGAAAGCCTTGAAGATCTTTGTCTGACTGAATCCCCAGGGCTTGTATCCGCGACTCTTGTTGACGCGATTGAGCAGGCAAACGGTGACGGCGTACACACTAGCAATGGTGATGGGCACGCGCACATCTAGTAGTTGGTTATACAGCTGGGGAGGGATATTGAAGGGTTGGTTCCATGTCGGTTCGGAGGCCTGGGGGGCTGGCAGAGTGGTAGGGAGTTCGTCTGGGGGAAATTTCAATAACGAGGAGGGTGGGAGGCCGATGCGCAGGACCGCTGGGCCTGACGCGGTCTCGAGATTCAGATCGAACATGTTGCTAGGTTTCCCACAGTGGGGAGGGTCAAGTTGCAAGATGAGGTAAGGAGAATGGCTTTGTATCCAAGCTCACTTCCTCCGGAGTGAGAATCGCGGTTCCCGTCGGGTTTAGGGAAAGAAAAAAAAAAAAGTGGAAGAAAAAAGTATAGGAAACCGGACCGGAGAGAAGGTCAACAAAAAAGAGGTATTATATTATATATGGTGATGAATACCCTCTGTCGCTAGAAATTGGAGCCTGGAGTGAATGCAGGACAACCCCAGCAGCAACAGGAAGATCAACTTGGTCGACGATGAGGCAATTGGCGAAGGAAAGAAAGGAAGAATGGAAGATAAATGATCGACCAGACTCAGCCAAACAGACCAGGCCTTCACGTTTGAGTTCTGGGGTCACCAAACGGTCCGGATCAATGGGAGCGAAGATTATCTGCGGAAGTGGAGCCGCGATGCATTTTGTTGGGAACTTGGCCCTGACGAACAAGCTGCGAACCTCGGCCCCAACAGTTACGTAGGGAAAAATCCATCCAAAGGCCCGTTGATCCTTGTTCAAAGATGCTTGTGAACAAGGAGTGTCTCATGCAACGGCCATTGGCTCAAGGGCTCTTTAAGTCTTTCAACAATTGGCCTTTCTATCAAGGGATCAGCACCCTATACGCAGTATCATCCAAGACGCAGGCGTGATTGGCCACACGCGACGGGTTTCCGCATTGATGGTCTGATAGTAGGCACGACGGATTATCAGTTCTTTCGTAATGCCGTCGGCATATCCCTCGGATCGATTTGGAAGGCAACCAGATAAAGCCCGAGACTGAACTCTGGCTTGTTTGTATGATATTTACTGTCATTGGCGCAATTGGTGTACTATGTAGAGATCCACGCGCGATGATGCGACGATGATGAACTGCTGCTTGGTCTTGCCATGGTTCTCCAACGCCTTCATGCTACCCGCTGACTCAGCCCGTGCATGACTCGTGGCGATCACCGCCTTAGGCCCCAATCCTTGGCCTTGTCAAATTGTTGAACTCACATGATGGCGTATCATGGGAGTACGCGGACGCTGGCACGCTCAGCAACCATTCAGGTGCATTGAGATGATCTCGTCGCCCTTTTTCGCATCTACATTTGCTTGATACGTCGGCGCACTGAATATCAGTCATCTCCATGTACAAATTTCTACGATATTGATGTGCTACCTAAGCAAGACAACGCCAGATAAGTAATGATACAATCGCTACAACAACCCAAGATCTCGAGATACCCTTACAGAGTACATACGTAAAGAAAAAGCAAAACAGAGCCCCAGGAGATATTTATGTTTGAATGCTCTGCTTAGCGTGGCTTGGTGCCAAGTGGCACCGGAGGAGGCGTCGGGGACGGTGCATTCACTGGAGTAGATCGCATTCCTGACTTCTTGGGGGGAGGCGGTGGTGGAGCCTTCTTTTGACTAATGGACTCTGTGTCAACGCTAGAGTTGGAACGACTGAGATTGGGATGAGGAGGCACGGGCGGTGGCGCTTGGTCCGCAGGTGTGGAGCCCTTCCGGTCGTCAAAGAAGCTGTTTACCCGCTGGGAGATCCCGTACTTCTCATTGAAACCACTGAGCTTCTGCTTTCCTGCTTGAATCTTGTCGTCATGTTTCTCGCGGAAGTCCTTAATAGCGGACGTAGCGCTGTGCACATCTGACGCAGACACGGTGGAGGACTCCCGTCCAGATAGGCTCCCCCGGGCCGGCGGGGGAGGAGGTCGAGACGGACTGCCGGAATTGGTCCTCATTTGGGAGAAGCGTGTTTGCAGTTCACTGACCGGAGCTTGACCGATTGACCCACCAGTAGCTGGGGACGCAGACCTCGGTGAATCGCCACGGTTTCCGATTCCCAGAGAGGGAACGGAAACTCCCACCTGAGCAAGGCGAGATGTAGCCCCTTGATTCAGGTAGCCATCAGAGGTCTGTTCTGTGGTAGGATGAGGAGAGTATGCAGGAGGCGGCGTAGGTGAATGGGATTGTGGCGTGGAATTGGTCCGTGAAGGAATTCGGGGTGGGATGCTGGGTCTAGCGCCAGAAGCCGCAGAATCTGCTGGTGACCCCGTGCGTCTAACGGGAGGAGGGGGGAGAGTACTCGGATCAACGCCTGTCCTGTTTGCACGGTACGGTAACGGAGGGGGTGCTGGTTTCTGGGGTTCTGCCTCGGCTTCCGCTTGCTCTTGTTGACGAGTATTCTGTTGGCGAATCGATTCTTGCGACAAGGGGGCACCTAAACCCCTCCGGTCTGGTGTTGTCTCATTCGGGACAGCAGCGGCGCCGTGATATTTGATATGCTTCGGTGGTGGCCCAAAGGCTGCTGGGTCCTTGAGCGACGAGAGCGGCTTGGAGACGTGTTCCTCACGATCGCTGTCCTTGTCTTTGCCTTTTCCCATCCATCCAGCCTATCGGGAGAGTAGCACATCGTCAGCTCATCTCTGGTCGCTTTGCTGTAATGGTTACAACCCACCACTTGGTTAATGCCTTTGAAATCGCCCCGCCAGCTCTCCTTTTGCCCTCCTTTACCCTTGGGGTGCCAGCCCTCCTTGAATACTCCCTTAATCCCACTCATTGTCGGTGCGGCTTCTGTTGGCCACGAAAAGACCTTCGTAGATTAGCGAGTGATTGATGTCAATGCCGATTAGACTAGGACCGGTAACGATAAGAATGAGTTTGGTATGCCACATCGTCACTGACCGTTAGACGCGGGACCATCACGGATATTGATGCCCCTAACGCATCTGGGTTAGTGCAGGTCTGGTTACGTTATCTCCAATCTCCGACAGTGTCACGTGCAGGCCGTTCGTGACCGGCTGTCATGATTGTTCCATCGGCATGCAGAATGACTACCAGCAGTTCTATAAATATAGATGTTTACGGCCGGGCATAGTCAGCTGTGTCCACTCTGCATCTTCTTTCTGGCGATGTCTTGTCAATCCACCCTGTGCTATGTCAGAACTAGAGGCAAAATGGGCCACTAAATGCTAGCCAAGGATTGGCCCCCAAGAAACCGCTGCGCAACATGGCTCTCACCATAGCCACTCAGATGTCGATCAAACCCATGGATCGTTGGTTGGAATGCGCAGAGGTTTGCGGGGCTGACCGCTCCAAGAATTTCATTTTATTCTTCATATTTTGTGAGGGATCTCTTCCCCGACCTCTCGTGAGTTTGCGACGCCATCTACAGAGTATCACGGTCTTTGTTACAAGTGTCTGTGCAACACCGAGGGGCACGAACAGCTCCTAATGTCAACAAACCTTGGGTGCCAGAAAACTCTCTTGTAACATGTGGATGTCCCGCATCTTGAACATCAGCGAAATGAATCCATGCCCTATGTGTGCCATCCACCCAATGGTGATCGGCGTTTCATCTGATGGCGCCGTTCCCATCTGTTGCTGATTGGGTAGCCGCGGCCCTCATTGTTCACTAGTAGGAGAGTCTAGTAACAAGTACTAACAACTGCTGGCGAGATGCTGCGCCATGTCAGCTTCCTTTGTCTAGCATGCTTTCCCTCGCCTTTCTTTATCTTATGGCTCTTTGCCTTTGCAGGCCCTCGCTTCCAGTCCTTTTCCTTCTGCTCGTTCCTGAAATTGCACGACTATCATGGACTATAGCACAAAATCAAGCATCCCGCTCCTTTGACTTATCAATCGACTTCTCCGGTCGCATTGCGTCTACTTTGACTTTTGATGATGCGGTAGGTTACATTTAATGTGAGACTTAGATGTCATCCATGTTCCATCCCTGATTCAGTTTGGTTGTTGGCACTACCGCACATATGAATCCTTTTCCCCCTTGCAAATCTGATGTCTGTCCCTTCGTTTCTGTCGTGTGTGTGTATATGTTGATAGTCCTCTTCAGATGTACTTAGGGTTGTGCATTAGGACCTACAACTCCCAAAGAAAACCAAATTGATTTACTTCCATCGCAAACATTAAGACATGAACCATCCCATGGTTGTCATGCTGAGAGACACTCCCGCTGGGCCGTCCAAGTTGCATGCCCATGATCGGGCTCGTCAACAACCCGACTGTGCTGGGTGCGATGTATGGTCGAACAAACGACTGCTTTGGGACGCTTCAGAACCCTTTATAGGACTTGAAACTACAATAAATACCGAAAACTCCCCAGCTACCAACCAGGCGGTACAGACGGCCATGGCAACTGCACAAACGAGCGAGACCTCCTTTCAGATAGAAGGCAACCCTGACCCTGTTGTTAATATGGGATATTTGGAGACGACCACATCGTCCCTGCAGTCAGAAACAACATCTATACAACCCCCGACGGGTAACCGACCTACAGGTCTCCAAGTTGTACCGGTTTTCACTCCACCCGCGTGGAGCTCGGTATCCTCCTTAACAACTACCACAAGCTTAGCTACACAGCCTGAAACGACATCCACCACCGCTCCAACCACCACCCAATCCGCACTTGGAGCAGCAAACAACCGTGGTGGCGATAGCATCAGCACCAAAACAACCATCGCCATTGTCGTACCCGTTTCCGTCGTCGGGCTTGCCCTCTTCGCGGGGCTTTTATTCTTCTTCCTAAAGCGGCGCCGTCGGGAGAGGCAACTCGCCTCCGCGAGTAATCCATCCTTAGTATACGCAATACCCAAAAGAGAACCATCCTGGGGGGACTTCGGCTCAACCCCACGAGAAAGAACCTCTTTCGGGACCATGGCACAACGACCCATACCGCATAGCCATACACTCACCCCAGATACCCAATCATTAAACCGAGAACTACGCCCGCCGCCATCGGCCGACAGTCGCAGCGGCGTCCGAGGCCGCTTCACCGAACAGGTTCACTCAATATACGCACCCGACGGAAGTCCAATGGCCTTGACCGCTGAAAACATGAGCCACCATGAACACCACACGCCTCGATCTCCGGCATGGCCGCTATCACCATTCGGGGATTCGACTAACAACAACAACCACAACAATGATGATGCGGCTTCGGTTGTTTCGGGGCTCAGTGATAGACCGGGTCCGACGCAGAACCGGGACTTGGATGATGTGTCGTCGATCTCGTCAATAGATGACAATGAACGGAGGCGAAATACCCGGCCGTAGGCATGCGGAGGTGCGTGTATTTGTGATGTTGGTTGTTTGGCGTCGTGGTCTCGCTCTTGGTCTTTTGAGATTTTCCATATACTATATACTCCTACCTATATCCTGTGTACTGTACATTGACCTAGGTTCTCTATACTTGAAGCAGAGAGTTCCATTTAGCGATTGCATTTATATAACTTTGGCAAAACAAGAACCATCCTATTATCCCAATTTCCCATAAGTAAGGTAGTGGGTCACGCAACTTGGCGGGTCAACCGCGCGTTTTTTCGCGCCTCCTACAAATTGAAGCTATTCCAAACACCGAAAAGTCTGTATTTCTATAGAAAATCTAAATAGCTTGACGAATAGGATATTGAGTAATGTTATGACCTATAATACCGCAACCAGAGCACTTTGGTGGGGGTGTGTACGCGCTGGTTTTCTACTCCATAACAATTTGGGGTTTCCTATTAAAGAATCCGCGGTAATTTACCTCTGTTGCGGGTAGGCACCCCCGTAAGACGGCATAAAGTATGAGCCAGGATCTTCTAGACCTGGAATATTTTGGCCATGTGTGTCTAAACGTTATATCAGTCACCAGTCACTAGTCACTAGTCATGTAGCATGAAAGGGTATATAGTTGTATATGGAGATGCTTACTGAACTATAGTGTTTCAGGTGCCTGTAGGTTTCTGTAATTTGGCAGGGATCTATTTGATAGGGCGTCGTTTCTTTTCCACTTTGAGGAAGTTAGCATGTCAGACGGGATAGAACTAGATAATCTTTTTTCAGTACATACACCTAATTTAATAGGTCGGCCATGAACCATTTGGCCGTGAAGTTGGCAAATGGCCATTGTCGCATGCTCATGCGTGTCTAGTTGTACAGAAGCATATCCATGGTCGGCATGCATTTCAATACCCTGTAGGTACCCAAGAGATTGAAAAAGAGGAATAAGATCAGCCTGGGTACAATAAGGGACAAGATTTCCGACATGGACTGTTGTTTGGTCCGGGGGAGCTTGCAGCACAATCGAGTCAAATGAAACAGACTCGGAATTCTGTGAACTCCCCTGAGGATTCTGGTTGGCCCAGCTAACTGTCATTGCGCGAGATCCCAGCCAGTCACCGTTCATGGTAGCTATGGCTTGTTCTGCATCGGTCTTGTCGCTGAATATAAGGAAACCATGACCGCGGGATTTACCCGATTGTAAATCCCAGATGACTCGAGCGTCAGATAGTGAGCCGAACGCAGAGAAAGCTTTGCGTAAGACTTCATCGTTGACCTCAGGACTAAGATCTCCCACAATGACACGGTGCTGACCCGGTGTGTCTATTGTATCTTGTTGGATTTGGTTGGCCCAGCTGACTTGAATTTCCTGTATATGTAAACTAAGAGATTAGACGGCTCTGGAAGATCTTAAAAAAAAAGAAGAACTTACAGTATCAAAGAGTTTCAGACCATTCAAGGTCTGCACTGCTGTTTTAGCAGATTGTATGTCAAAGTATTTAACAAGGGCGTAGTTTAGGCCCCCGTGTTGGTACTGTGTTAACAAGATGAAATTAGAAACTAACCAGTTAAAAATATGGTATTAAAGCTCCGATATTAGGCAAATAATATAGTGAGCGACAGCGTCTGGCCAGTGTAAATATGCTTAGAGCAACTTCCACAGCCTCTACCTATTACTCACATTTCTATCAGGAATAATTTTGAGATGCTGCACAGCTCCAGCATTGGCAAAAGTCTCAGTGAGCATATACTCCGTCACTCGCGGTGACAGGTTGCCAACATATAGGTGTACATCCATAGTTTCCTAGTCTACTTATATCACCGTATATTTATGCCACGCGCGATGTTAGTGGTGTATTGGACGTAAATCCCTGATTTGCTAAAAGATACACTTTCCAGAGGACCAATTCAGAGAGTGGTCAATATACAATATCTGGATCCTGTTTCTTCTGATTTGGAGTAGATTACTGGACTCTATCACCTTGTGGTTTTCATGTTATTATAAATTTAATTAAGGGTAGGCCGTAGATTCAAATCCTAGTAGGGATAGTTGAGCCAATACCATTAACATGGTTTGATTATATCATATTGGATCTATGCTCAATATATACAAAACTTTTGTGCCTACACCAGATTCAGTAGTGGTGCATGCATTGAGGTATATGTACAGTAGTCTTGGACTTAACGTCCACCGAAATCAGGCTTATAAGCAAGCACCTTGCCCTTCATCAGTTCTCTCAGGGCCATGGTGGCATACTGACTGGAGCCCAGCTGGAACTTCAGAACGACGGCAACTTTGTCGGCAGAGTCGGCATTAGCTGCGGTGCTTTGCTTGCCATTAAGTCTCTCCAATTCCGTCTGTACAAACTGCTCATCATCCGCGGAATACAATTTCACCTCGGCCGAATAGTCTGGTCCCATTCGGCTGAGGAACTTCCGGTAGCTTCCACTCAAGCTGATATCCTTCCATTTACGGCGCATGTCATATGGGTCTAGACCGCCTCCTTGTTCGCTGCCCATGAAGCGCTTGTAGAAATCGCCCATAGCATTGGCGGGATACAGCACGTCGAATCCTGGCAAGGGGAGGACAACGTCGAAGATGGTGTACTTGCCGCTGGCGGCTTCCTCAGCGGTTAGGGCTCGGGCGCGCACGAAGGCATCGCTTGCGGCGTAGGCGCTGTCCTCTGCTTGCGGGGCAATGATCACCTCGCCGTCTGCATCGACATCAGCGGCAGGGCCATTGGTGTTTTGGTTCTTGTCGACGTGTTCGTGGATGAGGACCAGGTCTCCCTCGACAACTTTGTCTCCGTACAGCCGCCACCGCTCGCCTGCAGCGAAGTTCCAGACCAATGATTGATAGGCGTGCACGTACATCAATCGCAGGTTCCGAGGGATCGCCTGCAAGGCTCCGAGGTAGTCATTCTTGGAACGGCCCAGCTGGCGTATCAAGTTAGCTTCTGCGGAGAACTTCCGAGGCATCTTTTCAACGGCATCGCTGATTCTACCAGTCGTTTCGAAGATGTGGATGGCCTCTGCGCGGGCCTTGTCATCTGAGCTTATCAAACTTGTCGAGTTCTCGCCTTCTTGGGCAGCGGCTAGAACGTGGGGACTATAGTGAAGGATCGCATCGCAGGCGCCCTTCAAGTCTCCTTGCAGCATTTTAACACCCACTGTGTCCGTCCGCGTCGCGAAGGTTCCAAAGCGCTGGAGACCGTAGTAGTTGAAGTAGCCACGTTCACGCAGGTTGCGCAAAGCCGATCCCACGCGCTCGGTGGCATTCTTAATGGCAGTTTCACGGTCTTGGAGATCGAGGCCTGGGATCTCACATTCGCGGAGCGTTATAACGAACTCGTTTCCGGCGAGATCACCCAGTTCAAGGCCGTACTTGCGATACTCAAAATCGCCAAGTGCCGCATTACGGAGGGTCGAATTCAGTTTCGCAAGTCGATCAACATGCACCCGGTGCGCGCAAGCTCTTTGCGTCGTGACTCCACGTCGGTCCTTAGTGCCGGCAAATTGGAAGCTCTTGGGATTCAACCTCAAGGTGCGCGCGATATAGGATATGACCTCCATAGTGTCCTTATTCTCCTTGTAGATAGTAAAATGCAAATAGGGGCCTCCGAGCTCATCCCAGTTGACACGACCTTGATTGCGGCCACCCTCGCGAGCACCCTGCGCTTTGCGTTTGGTTCGGTTTGCAGCGACCGAGATGTTCATCATGCCTTCACCATCCGTAGAAGACTCAATCTGCGAATTGAAGATGCGACGGATCGCCTGGTGCATCTTGATGCGCAGATCGCGATCGTTTACAACAACGGTTCCAAACTTACCCAGTTCACTTGGGCGGGCTTTCTCATTGGACTGGGCGCGTTTATACAGCGATATAATTTTCTTAGCGTGATCGGCGCCAAAATAGGAATCCAACAGCGCCTTGTCCTCATCTGAGATTTTGAATTCGACTGCAGGTGTCTCCGCGTTGGGTGTGGCATCGCTCGCAACCGCAGCTTCCGCCTCCTCCTGTGGCTTGTTCTCCACTGGTGTTTCCGTCTTATTCGCAGAGTCATTGTTATTCTGTTCCGACTGAGGTCCAGCAAGGGTATTTAGGTGCAGCACTTCGCCCGAGGGAACGATCTCATTGACCAAGAAATCGGTATACCTGAAATTAAAACAATTCCAATCAGTTGACGGCTTCCCCTCATTTCTTGGGGGAAATACCTCTTCTTCAAAATGCCAGAAAATCCCGCATTCTCTGCGCTAACAAACTCGGTAATTCCAACTTCGGCCTCCTTCAATGCTTGAGCGTCACTTTCGGAGATTTCCGCCGGTGCTGCTGCGGAAGGGGGAAGTGTAGCTTCATCTGCCGTAGAGGTATTGTCAACCTTCTGCCGCTTACGCGGGGACTCAACAATGTCAGCGCCTTCCATTGTGAAAGAGGGCGGGGATGATGTCAAGTTGAAGCGGGAGCGATAGCAGACGGCTGATGCGGACTGTCGGAGCTTCAGATAGGTTTTGCTTCTGCCGCGCCGAATGCGGATTAGCGTAGCCCTAGCCCTACATGTCTCAGGAATGTGATACAACGTGTTTCTTCGAGTTGACTGGGGTTATTTCTGCTTTCATCTCGTCTTTAATTTCTGCTATCTTTATTACGAAGGGATTTAGTATGCTCTAGGATACAATACTCGCACTCAGCAAAGTTTGCAATAGCAGTATTCGGTATATATAACACCTTAACCATTCACTTGTCAACCATAGTACTACTACTAGTAGTGCAAGAGTAACGCCGTAAATTAAGAAGCAATTTCTTCATCTGTGACTAAATTAGAAGTTGCATATGACAGGTTCATGGTAATATTCTTGTAATGTGGACAGAGGTGTTATTATAGATATCATTGCTGCGACGACGGGGAAACAAGAAGATTGACATCAACCATCATGTTAAATTTAACCTTATAGGTGATAAAAACTAAGAAATGGGATCTTGTGCACAATCTATACGCTTTCATACTCCATGGAGGCTAGTGTAGTGAGCACAACTGCCAGATACACATCTTTCAGCCTGCCACGACCCTCTCTCCTCTACCAGTGTCTCTACACTCGCTGGCCAGATGCTCGGAGACCGCAAGGTCAGAGGTGAAACCTGCAACACTAGACACAGTCCCTGCCAAATAAGACACCTGAATATAATATTACTCACTCGAAAAACCACCAATAACAACCGTTTGGCAATAGGGTACCCTGGTCCTAATCATATGAAGCCGATCGGTGCTTTCTTTTGTCTATTGCTCCACAATTTTTCTAACCAGCATGCGTCCCCTGAAGCCAAACTAAGAAATATGGAGCCACTTCCGCATTTCTTCCTTTTTCTTGACCGAGGCTTGTTTTCTTTGGTGAACTTGGCGATTAACTCCATCCGCTCGTTCTATCTAAAACCCCATGGCGACGATTCCAAAAAGGCAGAGAAAGCTAACGATAGGTGGTCGAAAACTGATCTACTTGCTGTTGGCGGCCCTGATCTACCTTGTGCTTTACCATTTCCCACCTCCGCCAAAGACCAAGAACAATACCAGTTCGAATAGAAAAGCCCCCGAATATGATGTGGACACTACTCCGCGATTTCTGCATCTCTCCTCCTTTTGTGAGGACCCTGATTCAGAATACGAGAAGAGGATATTGGATGCCCTGCTAGAGATAGAGAGAAACGCTCTCCGCGAAAGAAACTGGGATACCTCCGCAGAAGATCGAATCTGGCAAGTTGCGCTGTGTAAATACATCGAGCGAGAATCGGATTCATTAGAGTTTGAGCAAGAAAATAGAGGATGGAAGTATACAGTAAGGGTGACTCCACACAGAACCAGTCGTGCTGCATACTAAGACCTGACAGCTGGTGGATGACAAAAAAGCATCCAAATTCATCACCGAGATCTTCTCGAGCGTGCCAGATCTCAAGAAGCTGTATGATTCTTACCCGTACCATGTGATACGCTCGGACCTGATCCGATATCTGATTCTGTGGTACTACGGCGGCTTCTACGCAGACATAGACGTTTACCCTGCCCGCGTTATCAAGGAATGCCCGGCGTTAGAGCCGCTCTGGGAAGATGGACCCAAAAGCCTGAATGTTTCTCTGGTGGTAGGCACTGAAATTGACGAGCCACATGCCTCCCCACGCCTCATGCGCGAGTGGCACTGGATCAGACGCTACCAGTTGATCCAGTACACTATGTATGCGCCACGACGCTTTAGCCCAATACTCCGGGAGGTGATTCGTTCGAGTCATAGCCCACACAAGACGACAAATCAGCCAGAGCAACCTCCTGCGCGGGCCACGCTACAAGGAAAACACGATTCTGGAGGTCACCGGACCTGGAGTATTTACCGATGCTGTTCTGGATGTACTGTCTCAGACGCTGCCCCCGACTCACAGCTTGGTGGAATCGTCTGTGAATGCGGATGTGGACATTGGAGATCTCGTTTTGCCTTCCACTGGGGTGGCTCAAAGGCGAGTGACGTGGGCCCCGTTCAACAGAATCAAAGAGCCGGTCTGTGTGGACGCCTCAGAAGCCATGGATGGAAAGTCCATGGGGGGCGTCTGCGTCCTGCCTGTGAATGTATGGGGGAATGGACAAAGACACAGTGGTGCCGAGGGTTTCAGCAGTAAACATGCATGCATCAACCATCGCTTTGGGAGAACCTGGAGGAAGGGCTGGATGGAATATTTCTTTGGGTAACTCATTCTCTTGTTCTATGGTTGAAAGACGTGCCATAGCCAAGGAAATTCTTTTAGGGTCCTTACAAGAAACTTCCACAATGCCAAAGGGAAGATTTAGAATACGTGTCACAATGACTCTCCAAGTCTCTTTCAGCAAGTATCTCGCCCATGAGACTCGACTACGGGTGGGTTCAAAGGGAACTGCGCTTATACGGCTGTTCTTTGGCGAAGTCAGGGATAGTGGAGGTATGGATGGTGATATGGTCACTCTAAGGACCAGCACACCAAAGAGAACTATATTACCAAAGCTCTGACGAGCAGATTATGAGGAGCTGGCGTTACGTGATTATACGAGGACATGACTGTGATTGTGCGGCATTGATAACATCAGCATTCTTTTCACCCCGACTGTAATATGTTTTTTACTGTATGATACTTGAGCATTCTGTATATAGTCGAGACCGAACTTTTGCTGTGCCTTTAATGGGTTGCTTCTACTTAACACGATTTAGTCCCACGAAAGTATTAAGCCCTAAACCCATGCATGTCACGAGAACAGGATGCACAGAGTCTGGCAAATACCTCTGCAACCTAGGACGAAGCCCTAAGTTATCGTAAGATCGACCACTGCGCTACGACCTCCATAAGAAAAAGTCTAGCTCCACTCTACATGAGAAGATACAAGGAGAAAGTCAATAAACCATCTCATAGAGCGGTTATCGACTGATCCACATGGCAATCTTAGCATTCAGAAAATATCACAAATACTACAACTACAGCCTACTCCTTACGCTGTAGAACAGACCCCCACACTTGAAAGACACACGTCAAACGCTCTTTGAACCCCCAGAGTGCCACAACTTACTACTCAGACCACGTCAGCATCAGCAGGGCCAAGGTTACATATATTCATGATCATGGAGCTCGGTAGTTACCGTAGATTTACGCTGCAGAACCCTTGATTGTGATGGCTCCCGTTATGGCAACGAAGAAACGGCACCTAGTGTCCCAGTGTCTAAAGATATCTTTTGCGGTACACAAGTATCGTGTAACACGATGCTGGATTTGTCAACAGTCCAACGTTCTGAACGTGCGCTTCTTAGATTGAACAGGCGCTTCCTTGAACTGCGGGTATATATTCTAGTATGTTTTCGTTGGGTATTTTCCAAGTTTTTCTGTTACTATTTCTGAATTCTTCCACTGTTGATATCGATATTCATATGCAAGGACCAAGTAACTTCAGAAAGCATTGGTCTATATACACCATGAGTGACCCGCCATTTGAGCCATCAAAAGCCCAGCTACGACATGACCCTATATACTACGTGAAGCCAGCAACCGAGGACAGAGATAAGCTAAGAATATGCATCGATATACTCGAAAATCAGGAGATACGTCAATGTTTCCGTGAGCTGGAAGACGAACCGGGAGCTGATGAACTCACTATTAAGAGTGCCATCAACCGCAAAAAAGCCCTTCTGATCGATGGTATCACGGTCGATGCGAGCCTGCATGACCTTGTCTGCGTGTTCGTCGATATACCTGAGAGGCGCCCTCTCAAAGCCCGCCGGTGCCTCCTTGATTCTAAAGAGGAACTACGGAAGAAATTTGAGGCTGCCGAGCACCAGGAGCAGTCTATTGATGCACTTGTCCCGACTGAGCCAGTTGAGGATGGGTCTGTGAGGATTAGTTACAATTTCTACACCAAGGCTGACAGCGGTAGAATGGTGTATGAGGAACTACTGCATCTTGTCGATGTGTACCTTGAGAATAGGTTGACTGATTCAGATCTACCAGTTATCCTCGGTGATGGACTCCGGGTGGCCCAGACTGAGCCTGGATTGTGGCGATTAGACCGTGGTTATGTCTACGATAGGAACCCACTGGGCGTGTCGAAAGAAACCTTTTATCCGGCTTGGGGCAGAGCAATAGAACGAGAGAGAACGCACGGATAGACATAAGACTAGTTAGTATGGATATCTCGTTGTTTTCAGTTTGCGGATTCGTTTATAGCAGGGACCCATGCTTGAGAGGGATAATGTGCATGTAACATAATCTAGGCTACGATTGTTCTTCAATACTACTATTGGTATCTATCGGTTTGTCTCTTCCGTTTAAGGCCCATAATCGCGCAGCATGCTTGACGGGATTTTGCTCAAGGAGAATCAGTTGAGAGTTAAAGAGCGAACTCACTTATTGGTCTGGTTTGATGAGCTTGTGTGTTTCGGGGTGGTAAATCTACAGACCCTGATGAGATTTTACCATTGACTTATCTGCGACCTTCAAAGGTTCAGGTATTTGGAATTGCATAGTTTGAATGCCGTTGAATAGCCCACCTGAGTTGCTTTGTTTTCATTGTTGGGTTTGCTGAGCTGAAAGGCCCAGCTGGAGAATGGTATCAGCCTGTCTTTAGTATGCATTATGCAACTAAGGATTCGGAACAGCATAAAGACAAAATTTCCATGAATCACCAAAAATAACCTGGTTCGTAAAGAAGTCTCCTTTGACTTCAGACCAAAGTCAGGCGATATGCGTTCTTACACTTGGAATATAATAGTTATCCCAAGCCCTACCTCGATCTTCATCTAAATCCCAACACGACACTGAAAGCAACCAACACTGTCTTTGCATCTGAGGTACCTTTATTGAATAAATACTGACACATCGCAATGAAATTTCCACTACTCTAGTCTCAATATTGTGTCTTTACATAGAGAAGCGGACACACCCTGAGGGTATATAAACAGGTTTGATCTTCGCTTGATAACATCTAAACATCATGAACCATTGGAATAGTTTCCATTCCAGGCTAATACCTTTTGAAGTTCAAATCTTCTCAAAAGAAACAGATCAGCAGACATGGCGAGGCCCCTAGCACCAAGTCAGCCCCTGCCACCAAAAGCGCCAAAATTCTTCTGCGCCAACATAGACGCACAGGATCGTGTCGATGACCCACCAGATTCTTCTGTCCTCATAGATTATATCAGAAATGCCTATGAGGAAAATGTACCCCGGGATGAGCAGTTGCGCAAGGAAAAGCTTTTCATGGAGGGAGTGATGGTTGATGCCCACAACACAGACCTCGTGTGCGTCTTCGTTGACGTGCCGAATACAAACGACACCACAGCAATCGTCTGTGCTTCCATTTGCGAACTGGAAAGAAGATACCAGGACGTCGCCGAGGACCATATTGGCCGCCCGCGAAGACCCAATGACACTGGGTATTATAACGATCACTTTGTTTGGAGCTGCGGCATGTACCCTGGACATCCACACGCTTCACTGAGGCCAGGGTTTGCCCGAATTTGCTTCGCGTTCGCGACCAAATCTGAACATAGTGGCCATATAGTTCAGCAGGTGTATCACAATCTCAAGGCAGTATGTCGGCATCGTCTTTTGCGTCGGTGCACTTTTCCCATTGAATTCAGGAATATGTACATATTTGTTTCCCAGCCGAACTGGTACTTCCATCGATATAATCCTCTGGCATTCAGGAGAGTTGGAAGGCTACATAATATTGCAGATTGAAGAGCTTGGGAACTTAGCAGGCTATACTGGCCCCTTTCTTTCTTTCTTTCTTTTTCATATTTATATTGAGCTTAGGAGTCTGTACTTGAATGAGAGACGGCTTGCTGTTCAGTATCATTATTTCCTTTGCGACACGTCCGTGGCTTTTGGTACGTGCTGGTCATGGTGCTGAGCACTCATCCGTTCAATGATCAGAGCCTTTGAAACTAGAATCTATAATGCTTGAAGATAGCGATTGGAAATGACCATGGAGGGTAGTCGTTGAGTACTTTGCCGTGCTAGACACGAAATGCCATCTTTATGGATGTGCGTAATAACTAGGGCTTTTGCCGCTTGTCTGGGAAAATACCTTTGCTCAGAGTCGAAGGTGGCGTATGACGGTAGCTCTGCTGATGGACCTTGCCGTGGACTCGGAATATGCCAAGGTATATTGAGGCAGTGAAGGGAGTTTCCTCGTCTGCTGCTCTAAACACCGAGCTCTATAACAATAGTTTCTGGAAAGTAGAGGCTCGTGTGTGGGTGTTTCCATCCGGGATCCCTGCGAACTTTCCATATACCAATCACTCTAGGGATGAAGCCGCAAGAGGCCAGTTGCAGGAAGTTTCACTCGGATCTTGCGATATAGAAGAGTTCAGATGGTCTCTCGTGATCCTCATGGTTGTCCCCATTAGAGCGGACAGTTCCCAAATCTCCAGGTATAAATATCAGTATGTTCTCATCTGAATTCTTCTGGTCTCTGTCTACCAACTCAGTCATCTTTCTTCATTATCTATTGCCATTCGGACCCGAGAAGCAAAACTCACACAGCCCAGTCTTAAGGATGGAGCACAATGAAGCAACACACCAAATAGAAGCCCCGGAACCAGGATCTCAACGAGAGGAAACCACCGAAACACCCCAAGCTTGGCGATGCATGCCACGAGGGTTCCAGAGAGACACAGAACCAGGCGAAATTATCAATGAGTTCCAGAATGATATGTCCGAGCATAATCCAGGTTTGCAACGGCATCATGATCGGATGATTGCGCAACTGCGACGTTTTGAGCAGAGGCTCGTGGTTAGTCTGACAGATCTGGAACTCGTCAGCCTCCCCTTTGATATACCCTGCAGTGGCAGCGAAACGGACAATGCCTACGATGCCGTTGAGAAATGTCTGGCGGAAGCGAACAGGCTCCCGAGGGACAATGTCGCTCACATGTTACACCCAGAGGAGGAAATTCCTGATAGAAAGAAGAGGACTTATTTCATGTTTAGAACACCATACGAGACTCAGAGCGGCGTGCTCGACTCCGATTTGAAACCGATTATCGAGGGTATTAAGAAAGCTCTGGACAAGAAGGAAGAAGGTCGAAAAATGGTTCTTCCGATTAAGTGGAAAGGTTGTGTTGTGTTTACGAAGGGAAGGATTGATAATATAAAGGAATGGAACAGGTCGCCTAGCAACATCAATGCTGTATCGCTGGATTCCTGGTGAACTGCATGGTCGTTTGTTTCTACTGCTATCAATTTTGTTGTTAGTTAGGAGCTTTTGCTGAAGGAGAACATGGGTATGCAGTTGCCAATTGCTATCTACAATGGAATGATTTTCTGTGTTGTGGTCATTGAATGTATGCTTAAATACGAGCGACAGAGAACTTTTGTTCGAGTGCATATCAGTAATCATTTGTCTATCTTTTCTATCGCACAAATACATGAATATTGAGCCTGGGTCCTGCAATGATCACACGTGGATGGAGCCTGAGTGTTACAAAGGCTCTGCTGGTGTTTATGACAGTAGAAAACTACATACAATGGCGGAGTGTGCCTTTGTTATATGCAAATATCCTGTGACAAGGGACTCTTTGCCACTGATATCCAAAGCCATTTCGAGGTACTAATTACAGGCCAAAGAGGTGCATATAGAGGCCGTCCATAGCCCCGAGAAAAACAAGCCCTTTGAATGAGGATAAGCGGAGGATATGGCTCATGTTCCCCACGGACTACGATACCGACGAGATGTTTCATTTACTGTTCCCTAGCATCATTGATCGAATGTTGCCTCTACCAAATTATGCAACGTTGACCTTCCGATTGAACTGAGGGAACATAAACATAGCTGTCTGGTGTGAGGCACCGCAGGTCGAGCCAGCCTATAAACCAAGCATTCTTGCAACCATGGCCAAACGTGTGGTTTACTTTGACCAGGATTGAAGGGCCAGCTGGACCGGCTTTAGTCTACTAGTGTACTTCTTGGAGGTGTTTATGATATAAAGATGGGAGAAAAAGACAATCCGCATGTCGTTGAACTTCACAATTGTTGTTATTAGGCGTCTTTGTATCTCATCTGTGGGTGCTATACATGTCTTTGAGCTCATTGTAGCATCGTGGATACTGCAATCCCCATTGAAGCTAATATGGTCTTTCACTTATGCTCTAAATAGAGTGATAAAGCATACATAGGAACAATCATAATCAAAACCTAATGCGTATCTTGTACCACCAATTCTATAAAAGTAACAATGAACTCTCTTGGAAGACCAAAGCCATTGACCTCGACAACTGCACCTTCTCAAGGCTAACAATACACCACCCCCAAGACCCAACACCCTCAGATATAAATACTCGCACATTCCTACCAGCTCTCACTCACTAACACACCCCATAGCCAACTCTCCTCTCAACCACAACCAAAACCACGTCCCTAACTCATACCAAACCAAGCCAAAAACACCTACCCCTAAGAAAAACCCACAATGGCCACACTAAGCACGCCCATCAAGCCCCTCAAACGCGCAACCGCCAGCCCCTTCGACGCGGAGCGCAAAGACACCCTCCGAGACGCCGGGCTCAGCGTCGAAACGCACACCAACACGGTGGCGATCTACCTCGACATCGACCCGTGGACGGACCCCCTGGACCCAGCGGATGTGATTTTAGCATCTCGACGGGAACTGGAGCGGAAAATGACAATGGGCGAGGAGGGTTACGCGAACGCGTCGGGCATTATTCAGGACAATCGCATTCGGGTGTATTGGGGGTTTCCGTCGGAGGCCCAGACGGCGGAAGAGGTGTTCAAGGAGGCGTGGATATACAATATGGCGTTTGAAGATGTGGCGGAGAAGGGGAAGAAGAAGTTTACATTCCCGGCGGTGTTGGATGAGTGTTGTCTGGTTGATGTTTTTGCGCCTGGGCGCTCTGGCACGGAGACTAATGTTTCTGTTACGGATGCTGGGTATTCTTCTTGGGAGGCGTTTCTCGCGAATATCAAGCCTGCTTTTCCGAGTAAAGACAAGCCTGGGACTTATTGTGGGTTTTAGGTGAGTGGTGAATGGCATGGTTATTGTTTTGTTTAGATTGGAGTATCTCAGATTGAATGTTGCAGAACTCATTTCATAGAACTAGTGATAATAACAAAAACTCAATGAGTGTATTCAAGTCACCAGTGATGGTGAGACTGCCACTCTATTGCTGAGTCTAACATAACATTGTTATGAAAATGCAGTCTATGCATGTCAAGTACAAAGGGTATCTTTCGTGTCTTCGTAACATGTCATTCTTCTTTCCCCTTCGTTCTCCTCCTTAGGTAAAGCCGTGATATCGTTGCTCGGACCGTCATGTTGACGCCCATCATCTTACTGTAAAAAGAGATTTAAGATCAATTGTAATGGTCGGCGTCCGTCGTTGGAATGCATGGAGCAAATTCAAGCTGAATAGCCATCAATTCGATTCCACCATCCGGTTGCGCAGAGCCAGCGCATCCATAGGCTGAGAATCACCGCCCTCCCATGCGGTCTTAATGGCTTTGATCAATCCCCAGACTGCGTTTCGGGCTTCTTCACGGCTCGCCCCTGCATGGAGCATAGATTCGTACGGGGTATGCATGTGTCGAATATGAGCTTCCACTGCCAAATCAGCTTTGCGTTCATCTGATTTGGTGGCCGTGCGTCCCACTCGACCGGAGCCTTTGAGGAATGCGTGGTTGAGAATCGCCTCCAGAGATTCCGCGGGCATTAATGGGAATTGAGTGCGGAGGAGTTCTCGAGAGTGAGCCAGGTCTTTCTCATCGCGAAGCTTGACAGCGTTGGCACGCGTCTCAGCGGTCGCAGCGGCAGACTCGAGAACAGCGGCGTAGACGTCAGATGGGACACGGATACCGAGGGTCCTCTTCCCTGTCTTGTCCTGCAGCTGGTTAGAACCTTAATCGTTAACGGGGCAACATCATCCCTTACAAAAACGGTATAGACTGTGCGCTCAGATTCCTTTGTGTTTGTTCGACAATTGCGAGTCACATACACATCGCCCTTGGGTACGAACACATAGCCTGTGGCAAATGGCTCCTTTTCAAAACAGTTCTGTACGCGGACTCCCGTTAGCGAGGCTTGATTCTTACATGCACTAGCTGCTGACTAGGCAAGGGATAGGCGGAGGGGGTTCCAAAATGTAACCCAGCATTTAGTAGCGCAAAAAAGCACACGCACCTTTTCGAACGGTTCTGTCGAGCGGGGGATCAACCCGAACTTGGAATACTTCGAAGTCCGTCCCCCAGCTTTACGTTCTGCGTGGTTTATTCTAGTGTTACTACCGGCACCGAAGAGCCCTCCACGGCCACGTCTGCTCGTGAGACTATTTCTGCGAGCGTGAGCTAAGATGGACTGAGGCGATTTCGGCGGAGTAAAGGTTTTCGGATGATTCCTTCGGCGGCCCCCCAATCTCCCCGGAGCACGTCTCCGGGAGATTCTGTTCGCAGATACCATGTTCTTTGCAAATGGAGACTAGATAGAATATAGCGAAGATGAAGTGCGAGTTTCGGCCTAATTTAGAAAGTGGCCACGATATGATATTCGTAATAATAGATGGTTCTGAAGTGCTTGCTGTTCTGGCCCCGAGTTCGGCTGCTATCATGGACTACCAACATCAAGGGATTGATAAGGGAGAGAAGGAGCGATGGCCAACACAAACGGTGAAACTAGAAGGTGTCGCCATGACGTGGACATGTAGCTTGACGTAGCCCGTTTAATAATCCATTTTCGGGGGTTAAGCCTCGCGGCATTCAATCATGGAGTAAGTATGGAATATGGATTATGCATCAAGTAGTATGCCAGATGAGCGATCTTCGCTTTTCTGCCCAAAATCTTCGCGTATCAATTCCGAGCGGTCACCGATTCCGCGGGGAACTGGTGGCTGAGGGCTGTGGCTGGTAGGCATGCCTGAGGTGTCGGCGATATATAGGCCATCGAGGACGTCATATTGGTCCGCAATCATCTAGCAGGGACAGGTCCAAGAACTCCACCCTCTCGAGACCAAGATTGGGGAGAAACAATGACATTGTCCGGCTCATTGAGATCCTATGTTATGCGCTCACGATGGTCAGAATTTCTACTGTAATTTCTGCGGGTGAGTATAGAGTATATCCTGAGGACTTAATGCTACCAGCAGAATGGCCAGCCAATAACTGTCTGCAAAACAGTGCTATAACCGGTACCTTGCACCCTGAAGAACAGATGTACTTCATGGGAACTAGCTTTTATTTTCTAAGGCCCAGCTCGTCTTAACTGATTCAAGTAAGAAGCACTTAACCTACCGGACGAAGTTTCCAAAGTGCAATTAGCTGACAACACACGATTGGCAGCCTCCAACGTTAAGAAACCTTTCTGACACTGAATTACGGGCCCTAGTCCTGTTTATAGAGTTACTCTCCTCTGAAACTGTTGAAGAGACGTAAAGAGATCCGTTCAACACCATGCTCAACAGAGGTTGACCGATCTCTACTATATACTTGAAAGGGTTCTACACAATGCATGAGGAATTGATCTTCAATCATTCGTTGTCACCATCCTGACAGCAGATTCCTGAAGACAGTTTCTAGAATGGCAGTGACATCTATATGGAACATTGGTTGGACACAATGTGCCAAGATTATCAGCACGAAAATACTGTGCTTTGATAGTCTCTTTTGCTACTTTCCTTGCGAACTGACGTATCAGCATTCTGTGCTTGAATGACACAACTTGAATAGTCGATTTTAGTGTTTCTACTGGCAAAAGCAAGTTGTGGCCTCGTTCCCGCGAGAAACGCACGAAATCAAGCCTTGGTATATTCAGAGCGCTTCGTGGGGGTGCTACATATGATCGTAGATACATCATTATGCTTTGAAAAATGGCAGATCTACGAATTGTACCAGGTTCTAGACATTGATGTACGAATCGTACGCTACGTACTATTAGATAGATGAATCATTTGGGATTATCCTTTATTTACAATGAGCGAAGGCAGATATCTAGGGTCCCTGGGTTCGCCTAGTTTTAGAAATAAAAAGGACAAAAGAAGTAAATACTAGCGCAACCAACCAATGAAACCAATGAACCCAATAATCAAGACGGGATACAATAATCCAGACGGCATAAACTGGCCATTGTCCTACAACAAGACCGTGAATGAATCACCAACAGAGGATCATCATGGATACTATCTATATCTAGAAGAAAAAGTTGCGAATACTTCCGAAGCCACAACCTATCACACCGACACTGTGAATACAAACAGTGAAGACAAGAGAGCCGAAAAACAGATGGAGGGGCTAATATGAATGAAATATTGCATCAGCATGTTTCTAAGTAAGTGCATCATTATATTCCAAAAAGTACATGATGCGCACTTCGATGATGGGGCCATGTGATTTGTCAAGCGTTGGCATCCCGCCCATGGTATCCCAAAGCAACGATGTCTAGGGGTGCAGCCCTAGAGGGGTAGTGGGACAAATAAGAGACAATCTTATCCCCAGGAACCTTAACCCGCAGGGGCAATAGGGGCTCTGTACAAAGGACTTAATATGTACAGATATCAGATCTCAAGGATCTACCCGGCACGAGGGAGAGACATGTCGATGCAAGGTGAGGCGGGCACCTGCCAAACACTATGTGACTATGATCTAAAGTCTGTTGGTTCTTGACTATGTCCTTGGGATTTCAGATTTTGGTTTAGTTTCTTGTGCATCGTCTATAGAGTTTCCTTGGGCCCAATCGTGCATGTTGGAAGTTAATTTACGTCGCTTATCATGAACCACTATATATACTCCGGAACTTTGAACGATAAGCCATAGAGAGTTCACGATTGAGATTAGATCTTCCTAAACCGGACTTGTCCGAGCCGAATCCAGCCGCTTGGGAATGGGAATGGGTAATCGAAGCGAGAGGCACACAGTAAATGTTATGTTTAATATATTAAATTTTCTAAAGTATCTGGCAAATGGTAGGATCGATCGTAGACTGAGAGATGTGCCAAAGCATCTTGGTCATGGTCATTACTCCTCCCATCCAACTGTGGTGGCAGGAACGGGGATATAAATAGCGTTGTCGGTACAGCTGGCAACTTGACCAAAATGGTATGCAAGATGATGATCGCCGAAAGAAGACCAGCAATATTGATCTTGGCAGATCGAGCTCCTTACCGATGGATTCAACTTTACTCGCCAGGCCAACCGAACTCGGGCAGTGGCGTGTTGAGAAAGAAGAAAGAAAGAAAAAAAAAAAAAAGAAAATCGAATCAAGAACAGGTAGGTAGTAGGCAATCACCCAGGCTGCAGCGCCGCCATGTCAGGGGTGATGGGCATTATTCATCGAGCGTATGCACGATGTACAGCTATTACTGCGGGATTACACCGCAGGCCGCTAGTTCGCTGCAGGTCCCAATGCTCGCGTGCAGCACTAGCCATCTTCGGTGCGCAGTGTTTGCTGTTGCTGTCAAGACTGAGGAGTGCCAACCGTGAAGAGAATCGCTGTGGGGAAGGAAATGGTCTGATAGCATGGAATGACTGGTTTTTAGTAACTTCATTATTCAACATCACACCTTGGAGCAACCTCGGAAGGGGCATGTCAAATTTCCCTGGCGCATGCTGACGCCCTGAAAGTGAGTGAATCCAGTAGTAGTGCTGACCGGGAGTTTCAAGCCCCATCAGGCTGGCAAGACAGGGGCAAGTGGGAAAGTGGCAGTCGAGAGTCTAGAATGTCGCCTCATGTCCGATCGCCTGCAATGCGGTTAGGCCCAAACGGGTAATATTAGTTGGCGTCGGTCACGGGGGGGGAAGGAAGGGCGATGAAATTGAATCGGAGAACTCGAAGAACCAGAATTAAATAGTCTTTTCCTTCCCTCCGTCCTCAATTAAATATTCCGAAACTAACGGTTGGAACTGTAATCACTAACGTCATCATTTGTCCGTTTTCTGTCAAGAATGCTCGTTAAATAAAAGTCAAGACGCCTCTTCCGGGGAAAAAGGTGCCCTGGGTGTTGATTTCAAGGAAACGCCGAACGCGTACGAGCTTGATAGTAGTCGAAAGTACCAGATGTCGTCATTCGGTTCCATCGTTCTCCAGTTCTGAAGCCCGTGGGGGGGCCCAGAGCTGATCGAAAGAGGAGGCTGGAGCTGAAAAAATAATAACTAATAATCCCAAACTCCCAAAATTCCAAACTAAAAAAAAAAAAAATCAAAATCCAAAAAAAAAAATAACCGGCCTGACTTTGGGGCGAGCGGTCACTGGTTGGACGACGGGTTGAAAGGGAGTCCGAGGGTCAGTCCGTCGTTGAGCAGTCGAACTACTAAATTGTCTACGTAGTCTTGGAGGAGTATAACTTCTGACTAGGGTCGCAACCAGGGTCAGTCTTGTCGTCACCGAATGGGGTTTGGATCGGCGTCGGACCTCGTAAGGAGTTTCGATTTTATTCAAACCTTATGCGCTCTCGTTGTTGACTGATTCTTTTTTGGTTTCTCTCCATTCCTCTCCGCCACGAGAGGAAATACTAGTCAACCCTGTGGTCACGGAGGTGGCTCGTTTCATGCGGAGAGAAGGATATAGTAGGATACTACCTCACGGGGCCCAACAGGATCTTTACGGAGGACGACTAGAGCTCCAAAGGGCAAAAGAGGAGACGGGCTGCAAGTCAGACCAACCAAAACCAGCCAGCAAATAGATCGTGCTCGAATGAAATGATGGAGCCCAGACGATCCACGGAAAGCCAGACGGCCGTTCCTTGTCTCTGGAACCAATGACGCTCCCAGACGGGCTTAATTCATCGAACATTGAGATCAATCATCTTGCGAAGATCACTTTCACTTTTGCATGTTTCCCTGGGGTAGTAAGTAGGGTTACGCTTTTCCGTTGTAGACCGTCGAGTCAGGTACACATTTTGCAGTTCCATTGTTCTTTTTGTATACTCTTTCCGTTTTCAAATTTCTCTTTCCTTCCGGTCATTTTGCTTGCTTTGTCCCACCCGCGGGAGAGGTACCGGTGGGAGTCGTAGTATCGGATGTATATCCATCGTACGTCAACTGTGTCTGGCAGTTCTGTACCTTGTACTCTGTAATTATTGTATGTACACTTCTCCGGACAACCATGGCAACTGCAAAAAAACCACCCCCATCCACCAGACCCGACCCTACTCTACACAGTTCCAGAATTCCGGGTTCCCTTGTTATCCACCCATACACCAACATCTGACATACACAACCCTAACCTGGAGGAGAACGACAAAACCGAGGACAGTCGACTCATTTCCCAGGATGGCAGTAGCCTTGCACAGCTATCCATGTCTGCCTCATCGCTGTTCCTTCACCAACCGGTGTCGTCTCCACCCGAACGAGACATTAGCTCTTAAAAGTGGAGGACGATCGGACGGTGAGGCTTTATGATTTGATTAATCCCGTATGGCTCTTTTTTGGTTGGCCGCAGCCTGATCGAATTATTACCCGGAACGGATTAAAAGTACCTGTACTAACTGTTATTTTCCCCAGTAGATCCGGATCTCGTTTTATAGGTATTTTCATAATTCATTAAATAAAAAAATTTGTAGTGCAAAAAAAAATAAAAGAGGTCTCCATTCAGTGGATCTGCGGATACAAAAAAGAAAAAAAAATAAAAAGACAGTAATAAAAAAAAACCTGTCAAATCATTACTAAATTACCAACAGAGAAAAAGAAAAACATTCGAAAAAATCCCCTCTCTTTGCAACCAATCCTTCGGTCGAGCTGGATTGATATCTTCTTCCCCTTCTTTCACAACGCTTCTCTTCTTCTACTTGACGATCAACTTGTCTCTGTCTCTGTCTCGGGTCAAAGAACAGTCGATCATAAAGGGCTTTCCAGGCCGGTCACACTGTACGCATTCCTCCACTCTCTCCCTTTGTCCAGGAGAGCTCCCATCAGAACCTTCCTACCAACCTTCGACCACCTTCCCACTCGCCCTATCTTCATTCAAACCTCCTCGCCTCTCTGTCTTTCTCCTGGGGCCGCCGATTACAAAGATAGAGGATTATGCTCTAATTTCCACTTCCTTTAAATTTTTTTTTCTCATTTTATTTTCTTTCCTGAGGGGTTCCTGCGTCAATTTCTTCTGTCTGAGCGAGGTGGCCTTCTAGCTTCGACTTCAATGAGCTTGTGGAGGCTTACATTCATCGGCCAATCGATCCCTTCCGAACCCCTCCACTTGCACATTCCAGACGGCTCCCAAATATCTGGACTTCGCCCCAGAGGGTTGCCTGGCAGCTTGTGTTGAATGGTTGCTAGGATCACAGCGTTGCTGACATGAGTTGGGATCACCCTGTCCACAGGTATGTTAGTCAAACTATCTACTCCCGTGCATAATGCCTTTGCCCCCAGGCGGGGCTTGTTTCTACACCCACTAGTTCCGTATCGATATACGGTGACAAATTCTGTCGTCTGGCCTAAATTGTCCCAACTCACACTGGATTGACATTGTGTTGTGGCACCCAATTGAGACGGTTGGGAAATTGGTTTTGTGGTTTGCGGAGCTCCAAACGAGCTCCGTCTCATTACTCCGAACGATGAAGCTGACCGAGCCTGCCATCATGTTCAGCTTCAGCTATCCCAACGGCGAACCTCAGACACCGACGAGGACCCCTCCGACCACGGTTTTCGACGATTCGGCCTTCCAAACCCCCAAGCTCGAATCGAGCTTCTTCGACCCCAGAGTCACCTGGGACACCTCGGATCCATATGCGTCGAGCCCAGAGTTCCTCCGAACCCCCCAGAAGTTCGGTCTGAGTACACCGTTGAATAACCATCTCCGACTGCCCAACACAGGCGTCGAGTCAGCCAATGGACGGAACCTGAAGGAATCGGAACAGGAGACGGACACAGCCAAGCGCATCCGGGCGGCCAAACCCAATGGGCATATTGAAGACGAAGGTCCCTGGACGGTGGAATCCACCAAATCGGCTGCCTCCATGCAGACCCCGCCGCCGAGTAGTGCTTCTCGGAGAAAGGTGACCGGGCTGGAAAATGTCAGTGGGACGGGACGACGGCCATCGGCCTCGAGTGCCATCGGTGGCCACCTGGAAACTCCAAGTCGTTTGATGGGAGCGTCCCCCAGATTGTTTGGTGATCTCCAAACGTCTCCGGACCCCTTCCAGCTGGCCGGGATCGATCCATCCGCGTCTCCTTTCTTTCCTCAGCAGAGACTCTTCTGGGATCATGACCTCGAACCACAGGGAGGGGACTTGGGCTTGTCCGGAAGTAATATGGACTTCTTTGATTCCCATACGACTGATGCATTTCACATGAACCCAGCCTTCTCCCAGGCCCCTCACATTCCGCAATTGCCGTCGATTGAGGGAACCCTAGATCTACCGGAGTTCAACAGCAATTCATACGGTCTCACCTCGGCGGCACCCACCGATGCAGCCCTGTTTCCCGCGCCTTTCTCGACCTCCCCCCGTATCCCCATTCACAAGGCTGAAGACCCAGCCATGTTTCTGAGCTCTCCGGCCCGTCGCTTCGGAGGGCCCCAGCCGTCCCCGGACAAGAGACTTTTCTCGAGACCGGGACGGCAGCCCTACCACCACCAGACTGAAGAATCGAAAAGGGAGCAGCTTCGACGCACGCAGAGTGTGCACCAGAAGCTGCCCACGTACGTCGACGACGATGAGGACGATTTCACTCCTCGACAGACACGACCGACGCTGACGCGGAGTCTCACCCAGAGTGCTCTATCCGCACAGCGTCCCGGGTTTGGTGGAGTGATGTCGTCCTCGTGTGGTATCCGGAAGAGCCCTTCGAAGAGATCCTCTCCCACCAAACCCCAACGGCAGCCACTACAGCGCTCCAATTCAGTCGCTGCTGGTCTGCCCCGGCGCTCCCAGTCTGTGGTCCTTCGGATTGGCAGGGACGGTAGAGCTAAGGCAGAGATGCAACCCGTCACCGAAGCCCCCCCTACCGGGCTGTCGGACCCTCTCACCGGGATGGACTTGGATGGTTCCACGACCGAAAGCGAATATGACTCGACCGAATTTTCGGAATATCCCACCGTTTCCAGCCGGAATCCGTCGATGACCTTCTCGGACACTGGCTCCCGACCACACTCCAAGGGCTCCTACACCTCTACCGCGGCTTCATCCCAGTCCGGCCGGGGATCGCCTTGGAACGGCTCCTCTCGGGGTCTAGCCAGAAGGCCAACTTATCGACAAGGGCTGGATGACTGGAAGCGTACGCCAAAGCGGCAATCCATGATCCTGCCGTCCGACATGGCCTACCGCAGCGCTAGTTCGATCCCGGCACCCCTCGCTGATTCCGAAGAAGAATCCGGTGATGCCCAGCATGCACTCCGCAAGGTACTCCAGGAGAGAGGCCGCATTCCTCGGTCCCACACGGTCAACTTCGGCTCCCGGGTCAACCGATCCTCACGCTCCTTGGCCCATCTCCGTTCCTCACCACCCCGGTTTGGCGCCGAATTGGATCTCAATCTGCAGGCCCCGAACACGTCCCCCACGACCATGACGGATCCTGACCTGGCCACCCCAAGCACCGACCGATACAGCAATCCCAGCAATGGAACCAGATGTATCTGTAACTCCATGGACAACGGTGGCCACTTGATGATTCAATGGTATTTACCCTCTCCACGACGCCTTGCACGCAAACCAGGAAACTGATCTGATCTAGTGAATCGTGCAGCCACTGGCTACATACCAAGTGTGTCGGTCTGGAGCGAGCCAACCTGCCATCGGTCTACGTTTGTGTCTTCTGCACCCATACTCCTTCGCGGAGGAATCGCATCCGGGTCCCTGTCGGCAGCGTTGGCCATGCGCCAACGTCGCCATTGGCCCACAAATCCTATCGATTCCGATAGAAGAAATTATGACGATGAACCCCACATCCGCAGGCAAGCAAGCAAGCCATTTGTGTGCCTGTCATGGATGGATCATGACACGATCCGCGTCAGCTTTTTCCCTCGGCCCTCACGGATGAGGTCCCGAGACTGACGGCCACACTCTTTCTCGTTTTCCTTTTTTCTTTATTTTAACGGGTCTCCTTTGTTCGTTGTGCGATAACCTTAGACATACCCCCCCCCATATTTCCTTTGAGACATGTGTTGGCTCACCATTGTACATTGGTGGCTTTGTTCTTATGCATCCCTGGTGGGATACTGCCGTTTATCATTTATTTCCTAATTTTTTGTATTAATTGTCGGGCGAGCGGCCTACGTGATACCTATGTACTACTGTAACTAGTGACTTTGGACAAAATTAGGATGGCGCCCGTGGCCCATCGACTGGATAGGACCGAGTATTGAATGAACTGTACTTAATCACTGCCTAAGCGGAAATAAGAGTAAAGAAAACGTGCCTGGCGGCTATTGTCGGATGGCGATCCGGACCTGAAATCCACCTGCAAAGGCGGTGACGGGACCCTTGCCGACCCTCTGCAATTGGCGGGCGGTCATTGGTGGACCTGGCGCCTTATCGGGCTCACCGCCTCCGATAGCGCGAGTGGTTCCTGTGAATGATTTTCTTCGTCTCCGGGTGACTCTTTTTTCCCCCTCGTTCACTCCAGGATTCCTTCTCCAGAGCTGCTGTCTTTGCCATCTGTCACACTCGCTCTCCGGCCATGTCCAGCTCCATTCCTGGCAATCGGGATCTCCCTCCCTCTCAGTATGATCTAAGTACATACTGGGGCCGTGTGCGACACTCGGCTGACATCGCCGATCCGAGGTATGGCCCCTCCGCCTCATCATGACTGAGAGCCCTGCCGGGCTGTATCCAGCATGATGTGGTTCATGCGCCTGTTTTATATTGACGAATGTTCGCTAGGATGTTGTTTGTCTCCTCGTCGGGGCTGGAGAGTGCGAAGCAGCTCATCTCCTCCTATAAGCAGAGCCATGTTCCCGCTATGACACCCGAGTTGTGGCGTGCGAAGAAGGTGGTCGATTCCACCCTGCATCCAGGTCCGTTGCCCACATGATATATCCTGAATCGGTCTAACCAACCTTCTTAGACACTGGCGAACCCGTTTTCCTTCCCTTCCGCATGTCCTGCTATGTCATGACCAACCTTGTGGTGACGGCTGGCATGCTTACGCCCGGGCTGCAGGTATGAGTTCTTGTGTTACACAGCAATGTCGTCAGCTAACGGGACCCTGTCAGACCACTGGTACACTTCTCTGGCAGATTGCGAACCAGTCGCTCAACGTCGCCGTCAACAACGCAAATGCGAACAAGTCCACCCCTTTGTCCTACTCCCAGATGGCCAAGTCATACCTGATGGCCGTGTCGGCATCGTGCTCGGTGGCGCTGGGTCTGAACGCCCTCGTGCCCCGTCTGAAGGGTTTGTCGCCCAGCACGAAGCTCATGCTCGGCCGACTGGTGCCCTTCGCCGCCGTGTCCAGCGCCAGCGCCCTGAACGTGTTCCTGATGCGGGGCGAGGAGATCCGCCAGGGTATCGACGTCTACCCAGTTTTGTCGGAGGCCGAGAAGAAGAAGCGGGAGGAGACCGGCGAGCCGATCCAGAGCTTGGGTAAGAGCAAGAAGGCCGCCACCATCGCTGTGGGCGAGACTGCGGTCAGTCGTGTGCTGAACGCGACCCCGATCATGGTCGTGCCGCCGTTGGTTCTGCTTCGGTTGGAGAAGACGGCTTGGCTTCAGGCTCGGCCCCGCATGGTGCTGCCCTTGAACCTGGGATTGATCTTTGCTACATCCCTGTTTGCCCTGCCGTTGGCGCTGGGAGCCTTCCCGCAGCGCCAGGCCATCAGTGCGCAGTCTTTGGAGGAGGAGTTCTGGCAGAAGGGAGGCAAGGACGGGATGGTTGAGTTCAACCGAGGGATGTAAAGCTCCCCTGTTTTGTTTTGCATGGTTGACGTTTGGGATACAGCTTCGTTTGGTTTCTTTTCTTCCGTTTCTATTACCCTTTTGATGTTGGCGCATCATGGACAGAAAGGTTCAGTCCGTATATACAGGCTATGGATAGATTACATAGATATCATACATTCTCATTGACGGCTTAGAGTTCAGATACTCCGCAAAACTCTTCAACATATCCTCCATCTCCCCAACGCAAACCAGCCCTAGTCACGGTGTATCCACGGTAATCCCACTCCAGTAATCTAGAACCGGACAGCAGCAATCCAAACCACATAGAACACTTCTTCCGTCTAAGATACTCTAAATGGAAATGTCTAATCGTGACCAGAATACCATACGCACATTGCATTCGCAATATCAGTAGAAGAAAGACCCTGTACTCCATCCACAAACACAACCCTTGCTCCTCAGATATCCTCTACCACCGAACCACAAACCCAAGAAGACTAATACAACTACCACATCCACATTCCAATGGATTATATACAATACCCAATAAGACAATTTACCAAAACTTCCCTGAAAACCAGTCCCACTGACAGATACATTAATAGCTAAACACAACACATACCTGACTCAACCCCCCCCCCCCCCCCCCAAAAAAAATGACTCACCCACCCCAAATACTAACCTCAACATAAAAACCCGCTCGACATCTCCTACAACCTAGACAATACTAATCCCACATCGGCAACCCTATTCTACATATATATATATTTATAATATACTCAATATCCAGAAGATGATATCCTTCCAAACCGCCCGCCTCGACATCCGCCCCCTCGTCCTCTCAGACGCGGAGGATGTCTTCGAGATGCGACGCGATCCGGAGGTTGCGAAATGGGGGTTCGTTTTTCTATTCCATTCTATCCTATCTTATTTCTCTTTTGTTGTTTTCCTGTTATTGGCTAGTTTGTGTGTGTGTGTGTTGATTGTTCGATGTTAACGGGTGGAATAAACAGGTCAAGCGGAACACCGGATTTGAGTATCTCTCAGACGATAGATTGGATGGTATCTCGCTCTCTGGGGTCTGATGTCGACGATACTACGATAACACCGAAGAAAAAGAAGTCTGGTCCGAATGTCATATTCGCTGTTCGTGAACTACAGCCCAGTGTGGCCTTTCCTGGGGGGAAGGTCATCGGGACCATGGGGATTAAGCAGTTGGGGATACCCTTGGATCCGGCGGGCTCGAATCGGGTACGCTGGGAGCTGGGGTATGGGTTTCATGCTGGGGCGTGGGGGAAGGGGTATGCGACTGAGGCTGCGAGGGGAGTGTTGGGTCATTTTGGGGAGATTAGACGGGCTTTAGAAGGGCAGGGGCAGGGGTATGAGGCTGTTGCTGTTGTAGAGGGGTTGTGGGCTGCTACTGCGGAGGAGAATTTAGGGAGTCAGGCGGTGCTGAGGAAGTGTGGGTTTGAGTTTGTTGGGAAGTTTGTAGATGACCTTGGGAGGAAGAATTTGGATTTTCAGGTATTGGTTTGAAGAATATGTTTCATGATTGGTAGATGTACATGTCGAGGGCAAGGGCTGCCAGGTTATATATGTGTATACTGTACCTGTCTAGATGTTATGTATATAGTTAGTTTAGGGGAGAATGGGCGGTTTCCTTGCGGCGAGGACGGATTCGAATTCCTGCGCGAGGGCTAACAGTTCCTGGTCTTTCCAGGGTTGGCCCATTAGTTCGATGCCGATGGGGATGCCCAGCGGTGCGGAGGGCGTCTCGGGACTGAATCCTGCTGTAAAGATATGAGCACTTGACTGTCTAGTATCTAGCCAGGCATTCACTATAAAGGCGCATTGATATGGTTCAACATACCAGGCAAACAAATCGCCGGCCGTCCTGTCAACGCCGCTAAAATCCCATTTCTACCCGGCTGCATGGTGCACCCCACACTGGCGACAAGCTGTTTCTGATGTGGATACACCAAGGCCGTGAGTCCATGCTCTTGGAAACACCGCTCCACTGACCCCTTGAGAGATTCTATCCTCTCAAGTCGGGAGCGGTACTCGGGGCTTGTGGGCGTAAACTCGCCGCCTTGGAGTGTCTGGTCAAAGACGGCCGTCATGGCCTGGGGGTTGTATTGGCCACTTGCTGCGATGGCGGCCAAGGATCTGTGCGGCGTGGTTACGGTTTGTGAGTTGAGAAATGCGTCGAGTATCGTGCGGAATTCGTAAGCTTGGGTGTCCGCTGTATTGCGGAGGCGTAAGACGTCCCAGTCGGGTATATGAGGAATCTCAACGAAGTCAATGGATGGTAAGTTGGTTCCAAGTCTGGCTAGTGCGTCACAGATGGCTTTGTTGATCGTTAAACCTTCGGTCGTGGTTCCGTCGCTAAAGTAGTCTTTTAAGACGCCTAGTTTTATCTTGGACGCACGGATGTGACTGACTGATTGATACCGTCGCGGATTCAGAGTCGCAGGGTCTCCCGTATCTTCTCCTCTCATTGCCTCGAAGAGAATCCGCACGTCCCCCACCGTCCGACCCATCGGCCCGGCTACATCTTGTGTTTCTGTAACTGGAACAATGCCTTGCCGGGAGACCTGGCCGCGAGTCGGACGGAAGCCAACTACTGCGCAGGCAGACGCTGGAGACCGCAGTGAGTTCATTGTGTCGCCACCACAGCCTACCAGTCCCATGTTCGTCGCCAGAGCGACGGCCGTGCCACCGGAGGAGCCACCAGGGGTGCGGGTGAGGTCGTAGGGGTTTAGGGTTTGGCCGCCGAGGGAAGAGAGGGTGATTCCCTCCAGCGAGAACTCGTGCAGGTTGGACTTTGCCAAGATAATGGCGCCCTTGTTCAGGAGGTTCTGCACGACTGTGCATGAGGTGTCGGTCGTTAGTGTGCGAAGAGCTTGAACGCCGGACGTAGTGGGAAGAAAGGCTGTCGTATAGGTATCTTTGAGAATTACTGGGACGCCGTGCAAAGGTCGGAGAGTGGGTTCAGATCTATCCTTATCGGTGTTGTCGACGCAAGACGCGAGTTCTTGGTCTTTCTGGTAGGCTTCATGCACGGCGTTAGGGTTTACGGTGAGAATCGCTTTCAAGGTGCTATTGTACTGGTGTATGCGGGCGATATACGCAGTGATCGTTGCGGCGCATGTCGTTCGTCTATGAATAAGTGCCGAGTGGTATTGAGGTATGGTGAGCTCATCCAGTGCGAAAGGGACGTCCGTGTTGGTCTCAGTACTGCCCATGATGTGTCGAAAGAGATGTTGATGTGGCTGTCAATGAGATTATTCTGAGAATATAGAACATGAGGGGTTCGATAATGAGGGGTATTTGGCCGTAGTCTATGCCACTAGCGTGACTATCGAGCTTAGATCGTATCGTAGTGTCGTCTGAGATATATCGTGATTTGCTGATCATCGCATCAAGTCCGATATGAGCCGCCATCGCGTCATCCTAACAGAGGAACGGAAAAGAAACCATTTTCAACAGTCGTTAACGTATAGGGGTCGTATAGTCCTATAAGTACAAAAGGCAACCCATCAGAATCCCTCCGATAGGCGAGGGAGAACATGCGAAGGCATCATTCTGGCCACCGATGAAGCCTCGATGGCACTGATCGTAGTGACCGTCAAACTCACTACCACGAGAGCGAAAGAACAATATACCAGACAACTATGCAAGATATAATCCTGTATCATATCACCAGAGCGCCCCAGAAGACGATGAATAAAATCCGATAAGAATGAAGCACATCCACGATGCGGAGAAGATATCAAATGAAGGAAAAAAACAAGACCATATCCCACAAGCCCCAGATCCTGACCCCCAGTGGTGCGAAGAGAAGTGAATAAAATAAAATAAAACAGCATGTCCTCCGTAATAAATAAATTGATAAGAACCCATACTGGTGTCGTTACACTTTTGCCCATCCGTTCCGGTCGCTGGATTCCTTCAGGTCTCGATGGCTTTTCGACGAACCGCTAATAGCTCCGGGCAATTTATCCAGCAGGCATCCCACCCCAGAGACAACCCTCTCGGTAGTCTCCACAGCATTATCGATCATCATAGGCATGGCTGCCATTTCGATGATGCATATAACCAAAAGAATAAACCATCTATCGTAACTTATAAACCCGTACTCATGCAAATTACAGACTGGCTGGCCATCGAGGCACCAGTGTCATATAGCCACTTGAGATCAACACGACGAGCATTCGCCGGAAAGGTACTCATTAGAGGTGTGTGTCAGTCTAGCGGCGTTGGGTGTTGCGCTGCAACTGTTCCCCAATCCGCAGAGCTTCAGTGCCATCATCCACTATGGACTCTTTGAACCACGGATGCTTGAGAGCATCCTTGGCTGTGATCCGGTTTTTCGGGTCATAAACGAAAATGCGCTGTAAAAGATCCAGGAATAAACGGTGGAACTTGGTGCTGGTGGGAATAAAATCCTGCTACATTTAGCAACGACCTCAGAAGTGGAACAGCGTAACCGAAGACATACTGTCAATTGTTTCATCGCCCTCACATACTTCCGTGAAGCACGAGTAGTTTCATCGTTAGGATAATCGAGCTTGTTGCGGACGAAGTATCTAACGCCGATTAGCACTTATGCAGTACACGAGGGGGTGGGGATGGAATATACTTGGCTGCCTGATTCTGGCTCCCACTCCGTCCGCCTTGCATTACTTGTCTTACGAGACGAGTATCAATCCGGTCGCCTATTACAGCCTCCATCATGGCAAGATGCTCCAAATTGTCATGAGTTTGGAACAGAGCGTCCCCTGTGAAGAACTCGACCAGTATACAGCCGATACTCCAAATATCACAAGGGAAACTCCAGCCGAGATTCAGAATGATCTCTGGGGCCCGGTAATGTCTGGTGGAAACAACGGAAGAGTGATATTCGTCATCGAAGGTCGCAGACCCAAAATCAATCAGACGAATCTCGCTGTCCAACAAAACTCGTCTTTGACGTGCGCTGCGGGAGATCGCGTGTGACGACGACGGGATCGTGCGGTTGTAGGTGAAGGTTTGATAGGCATTACTGACAAGGAGGATGTTTTCGGGCTTAAGATCGGTGTGAATCAGGTTAAGATCGTGCAGAACTATGCGATGTCAGTATCGATTTACCGATGATTTGGACGATAGAAACACCTACAGGCCACGCTGGTGAACAACTGCCGAGCAAAATTCTGAATTTGACTGCTGGGAAAGGGAACGAAGCCGTTGCCCTTCAGAAAATCAAAAACACTTTGCCCAAGCAAGTCCGTGACAATGCAAATGTGATTGCGATAATCAAAGCAGTCGCGTAAATGGATGCATTTGTTACGATTTTGCCTGTCGTTTGAAGCCAACGTCGACAGCACTCGAAGCTCAATCCGCGACGCGTCACGGTACTTCTGGATGGAACGAATGATCTTGACCGCAACACGAGTCTTACGGTGCTTATCATACGCTTCGACCACTTTCCCAAACGTCCCCTGGCCCAGGAGTTTTATGATCGAATCTATCAAGTGTCAGTCAAGCAAGTATATCCAGTCCCCGGGTGCTACCTACATCGGTCTGTTAATGGGGTATCTGGTGTCACAATATAATGACCGTCATCGTCATCGAACTTTTCTCCTCGGTTTGCGTACTATAGTGGGTTAAATACGGCGACCCTCGAAAAAAAAAAAAATAGAGAGAGAGAGGGCCACTTACGTCCCGAACAACAGGCACTGGAACATCCTTTGCCTTGATGATTGGCTTAGGAGGTGGAATATAGTTCAAAAACGCATCACCGGCGTTCTCCAGCTCTCGCCGTTTCTGCTCGTCTCGAGCAGATTTGCGGGTGGTAACCCGTTTCCGTTTTTGTCCAATATTAGCATCCTCATAGTAAACACCATTGCTCGCACCAGAGCTGCCCTGAGAAAGCGAAGTCGGTGCAGTAGTGTGCAGAGACGTCGTACGATCTGTTGAAATCGAACCAGCGGAGGAATTCTCCCCATAATTCTGAGGATTGATCGAGAACGACGGACGATCATAATATGTTACATCATACGCAGACTCGACTCCCGTGCGCCGTTTCTTTCCCGCGGGCTGAGGCAGGTTTCCGTTAGAGGCTGCCGTCACGGTGGACGTCGTCGCAAAGCTGCGAGCGGAGCCCTTGGACTGCTCCGGCGGTGGAGTATCGTCGATGACAATAACTTCCTTCGGAATACCGTTCTTGTAGAATTCGCCCCAGTCTGGCTTTTTCCTCCTTCCGGCCTGGGTTGGGGCCGCGCTAGCGCTGACCCCATTGTGGGTTGGGGGCATGGTTGCCGTCGTCGTTGTCGGCGTGGGAGCCGCGGAGACGATCTTGGGAGATTGTGTGAAAGGTAGGGTGGCGGTTGCCGGGTTGACGGCGTAGGGATAAGTGGTGGCCAGGCGAGAGGTGGCCGCGGCGGACGTGGTCGGATAGGGAGGGTTCGGTTGGTAGGGCGGGTGGTGAGGATATCCGTAGTGCTGCTGATGATGCGTAGGGTGTGTCGCCGTGGCGGTGGAGGGAGTAGACATGATGAGAGAAATCCAGCCGGTCGTCGGAGCGGCGGATCCTGGCGAAACACAAGGGAAGAATTCTGAAGGGGGAGGAGTGGTTTAACACCGTCGGATCGCAGTAGACCGTCGTAATCTACTTTTGGAGGGTGGTGGAAAGACAGGGGACTCGAAACACCAGGTCGGAAACCCGGAGTTTCTCGTAATGCTCCCAGTCGATTGATAGACGGCGAATCCGATTGAGACAGCGCAAAGAAAAGAGAAAGAAAGGAAGCAAGAAAAAAGGAATGAATCAAAGTTGTCCCACGGAATATAGACAGAGAGGCGATGAAGATGAGAGAGGAG